TGAAATTCCTGTGGACAAGTTGCCAGATGGTAAATTACGTCTCTACATAAACGGTGATAACATGACACCTGGGGAACATGACTTGGAATTGACATGGAGCGGCCTAACCATAGTCCAGTGTCCACGCAGTGCCTTTGTCACTGGACAACAGGCAGCCGATAAGGTTGTTCTAACGGGCAGGGGTTTGGCAGCAGCCCAGGCTGGAGAGGCTGCCCATTTCACAATCGATGCCACCGATGCCCCAGCCGGCAGACCAGAAGTAATACTTGTGCATCAGGACAACACCTCAGTACCCGTTAGCTTGGCTCAACCCAGACCAAATGAAGCCATTTGGATGGCTTCCTATACACCACAGAAGTCGTCATCGGGACCCCTTACCTTATCCGTCAAATGGAATGGTCGTTTGGTAAAGGGTTGTCCTCTAACTGTGGCCGTTGGTTCTTCAATGGATGCCTCAAAGGTTATATGTTCCGGTGAGGGTCTACGTCATGGAATTGTGGGTAAAGACATAAAATCATGGATTGATACTCGTCGTGCGGGTCCCGGTGAATTGACAGCCCATTGTGCAGGACCCCGTAAGGTGGCCTATTGTGAGCTATACGATCATGGTGATGCCACATTTACTCTGAATATTAAACCCCAAGAACCAGGACGTCATGTCCTGACCATTAAATATGGTGGACAAAATGTACCCGGTTCACCGTTTGCTCTTAAAGTGGCTGGGGCTCCTGATGCAAGCAAGGTAAGATATTTGGATATGGCAAGAAATAATTGGGGGAAAATAAAATCGTTTGTGTTGGAATTCTAGGTACGTGTCTATGGTCCCGGCATTGAACATGGTGTTCTGGCAACTTTCCAATCCCGTTTCATTTGCGATACCCGTGGTGCTGGTGCTGGCCAACTAACAGTGCGTGTACGTGGCCCTAAGGGGGCTTTCCGTGTTGAAATGCAAAGAGAATCGCAAAAGGATAGGACAATACTGTGCAAGGTAAGTGAAGATGTTAAAAGCGAAGGAGCAAAAAGAAAATCCACAGCGGTTAAGGACCTAATCTTATTTACAGAAAATAATTCTTCGGACACTAAGGAAAAATCTGTTTCTATAGAAAAATTCCTCGAAACCGAGTACCATTTTTTTACAGAAAAAAAAATCCTCAGAAATTGAGGACCAATTTTTTCCATAAAAAAATCCTCAGCCAACTGAGAAATAGTTTTTTTCTATAGACAAAAATCCTCAGTCAACTGAGGACCATGTTTTTTTCTATAGAACAAAAATCTCCATTAAGGACCAAGTTTTTTTTATAGAAAAAAATTCTCAGCCAACTGAGAACCAGGTTTTTTTCTATAGAAAAAAATCCTTAGCCGACTGAGGTCCAAGTTTTTTCTATAAAAAAAATCCTCATCCAACTGAGAACCAGGTTTTTTTGCATAGAAAAAAATCTTCAGATAAATGAGGACCAATTTTTTTCTATTGAAAAAATTCTTAGCAAACTGAGGTCCAAGTTTTTTTTTCTATAGAAAAAAAAAATCCTCTGCAAACTGAGGTCCAATACTGAGGTGCAAGTTTTTTTCTATAGAAAAAAATCCTCAGCAAACTGAGGTCCAATTTGGTTTCTAAAGCCAAATGAGCTCCAATTTTTTTCTAAAGCAAAAAATTCTCAGCCAAATGAGCCCCAATTTTTTCACTATAGAAAAAAATTTCCGTTATGTAAGGATCGATTATTTCTGCAGAAAAAAAATTTCAGTTGGCTGACGAGGGAGTTGAGGACTCTGAAATTGATGTCCATATTTTACAAATGTGTTCTAATTTTTTTCTTATCATTTCTAGTACGATCCCACCGAACCTGGTGACTACCGAGTGGAAGTAAAATGGGCTGGTGAATTCGTACCTGGATCACCGTTCCCCGTAATGATATTCGACACCGAAGAGGAGCTACGAAGGTTTCTTCAAGGTATATGAGGCCAACACAGCATCAGCACCATTATATTGCCAAACCCTGCCCTCAATCTCCCACAACATCATATGCAACACCAACATCAGCAGCAACAACATCATAATCAATTAGCCCACCATCAACAAGCATCGAATGCAGCCACACCAATTCTACCACTATTTTCACATCACCAGCAGACGCTTCTACGCCTATCACCATTATATTTGAATGGTAATGGTCTGGGCGGATATATTAGCGGTGGAGGTGGTGGCGGCGGCAGCAGCGGTATTGCCGTTTGTTTCGGGGACAATAGTAGCCGTGCTGCCAGCCAACAGTATCTAAGTAATCCGGATTTGACCTATGACCTTGGTGGCTCACGTTCTTGTCTAAATCGTAGTCGATGTCGGCAAGAGACGAGCTGCACCATACTTTGACGTACGAGTATGTGTGCGAGTTCTTTGGTAAAAGAGCTGCACACACAGAATTTTTGTTATCTTATAACGTTTACCATATATTACATATAACAAGTATATTTATAAACAATAGATTGTATTTTATACAACTACAACGAAACGTTTTTCTTGTAAGGCAAAACAAATTTTGTTTTAAGAAATTATTTTTTAAAAAAATCAATTTTTTTAAAATGCTTTAATTTAAAAGAATGAACAAATATATATTCCATAATAATTTATCATTATTTTTCTTTTTGTTTTAAACGAATCTTTATTTTCGTTTTTTTATTATTTTTTTGGCGTGACTAACTCTTAGCTTTAATAATGAGTTTTAATATAACAAAAAATTACATTTTTTATTTTATAATTGTGTGCATGTTATTTTTTTTTAATAATATGTCATACATATACACTTATACACTTTAAACAATTATCTACGCTCTTTTAACGATGCTACAATATGTTTGTTTATATATACACACAATTATATATTTAATTGAATTAAAAATAATACAAATTTTACTATTCAATAAAGAAAAATATTTTATTTGAGAAATACATATTTTTATTAATTTAACTAAGAGCGTGCAGGAAATTAATTTTTGTGGCAGTAGCATCTCAGAAATCCTTGAATAACAATGTTGTTAAAAATTTTTAGCTGGATGTTCTGTAAAAAAGTATTTGCCTTTAAAAATCACCGATTTATTTGCCCATACACCTTTGAAAAATGTTCTTGCTAGGTTTTCGAGATTTGAGCATGAAGTCTTTATATTTCCATATATACGATTTTCGACAAAGAAGTCCTTGGAACTTTTTTGAACTTGAATCAGTAAAGAAAGTCCTAAAGTCGGGCGGGGCCGACTTTTTGATACCCTACACCACTTTGCTAACTTGGTAGAGCTCCACATAACAATTAAAAGTTTTTATGGGAGAATTCAATCACACCCTATGATTATAATTATAATTTAAAGTTCAAAGGACTAAATGTACCGAAGCATTTGTATCTTTTAAATTCGGACTTGTATTGCCCATTTGGTGCAAAATTAATTTGAAATCATATAAAGATATATATGGGAGCTATATCCAAATCTGAACCGATCTCAATAAAATTTGGCAAAGATATGTCTGAGCTGTATTTGATATATCTCCCTTAATATCGTTGTTACGGAGTGCATATACGACTGTGGGTAACAAATAATAACAAATCGGATGAACAGTATATATATCACATAGTGGTAAGGGTGTTATGGCTTTGTGCATTTGTTTGTAACGTGGAGAAGGAAGCGAGATAGACCCATAGTTACTTTTGAGGATCTCCATAGAACCACTTTCTGAGTTGATTTATGCATATCAGTCCGTCTGTCCGTCCGTCCGTCTGTCCATGTGTTCTTGTGAACAAAATGCAGGTCGCATTTATTATCCGATTGAGATGAAATTTTGCACAAATCATTTGTTTGGCTCAAGGACGAACTCTATTGAAATTGGAGATAATCGGTAAAAATTTAGATATAGCTCCCATATATATCTTCGTCCGATTTGCCTTTTATTATGCACCAAGCGTGTAATATCAGCCCGAATAGTATGGAATTTTGCACATACAACCAAATTAGGCCTGAAAATAAGTATGGCGAATTTGATCGAAATAGCTATAGCTCCCATATATATTGTTCATCCGATTTGTTACTTTTGTCCTCCGCCGCCGTAATATGCACTCTGTAACAACAATATTTGGGGAAATATATCAAATACAGCTCTGAGAAATACCTTTGCTAAATTTTATCGAGATCGGTTCAGATTTGGATATAGCTCCCATATATAACTTCGTCTGATTTACTTTTTATTGTGCACCAAACGTCTAATATTTGCCCAAATGTTATGAATTTGGCATTTACGACCGAATTGAGTCTAGAAGCTATTATGCCAAATTTGGTGAAGATCGGTTCAGATATAGCTATAGCTCCCATATATATTGTTCATCCGATTTGTTATTTTTGTTTCCCACATCCGTAATATTCACTACGTAACGACGATATTCAGGGATATATATCAAATACAGCTCAGAAATATATTTGCCAAATTTTATCGAGATCGCTTCCGATTTGGATATAGTTCCCATATATATCTTTATCCGATTTCAAATTAATTGTGTACCAAATGGGCAATACAAGTCCGAATTTAAAATATACAAATGATTCGGCATATTTAGTCCTTTGAACTTTAAATTATAATTATAATCATGGCGTGTATGATTGAATTCTCCCATAAAATTGTTATGCGTAGCTCTACTAAATTAGCAAAGTGGTGTAGGGTACAATAAAGTCGGTCTCGCCCGACTTTCAGACTTTCTTTACTGGTTTCAATAACGATTTTTGCCGAAAACAGTCGGATTTATTGAAACAAATAAATACCAATTTTTGTTTTGTCGAAATTTGAAAAATTATTCATGTTCCTCGTTTAGTTCCCGTACATATTCCGACTGTCACTTATAAAATACGCCAGATTTTCTTTCAAAAATTCCATAAAAAATCTTGTATCGAGGCTACAATTAACCGCATATAGCCGAAATCAATTAAACCTATTTATCAATTTTCCCAATATTTTTGGTCTCTCTATAGTAAAATACCATTTGATAACTTTTTGCAATTAAATGTATTTATGTGAATAAAAATAATCCCTGAGACATCAATTCATCTTTGAAATTTCAATCTCTTGGTCGACAAATTATCCTATCTGGATTTCCCACATTAAATGAAATTCATTTCCACCTAATGACTCTTTACCGATACATAACTGGTGGCTTTTCCATGGCCAGAGTGGCTGTATTCGCTATGTCCGTGATGACCATAATCGTGGTGACCTTGTTCGTCATGGTGGGCATGACCAATTTTATGAACGGTGGCCTCAAAACCGTTCTTCTTATCGGAAGAGTAGTTCACAACACGAGTTGTTCCATCGGATTCTTTCAGGGAGTAGCTTCCTGAAAGCAAAAAAAAAAATAATTATTCCAGTTCACAGACAAAATTATTATTTAAATTCTTACCCTTAACTTTATCGCCATCTCTGGATTCCCATTGGTCCTTGACATCACCGGTTTTTGAGTCCTTAACGCCATATGAGAATTCATATTCAGGATAGCTATGATAATCATGGCTGTCATCGTGATGACCGCTACCATAACCACCAGCATGACCATGATGTTCAACATGTCCATGATATTCGGAATGATGACCATAGCCATGATCGTCATAACCATGACCATGGTGTCCCCCATGGCTGTCTTCATGTTTGGTTACAATGGCATAACTTGAAGCCTTGCCATGGCCATGATCGTGAGGAGCTGCCTCAATAAGGGTAACACCAATAACCAGCAAAGCAATAAATGATATAAAGCAACGCATTTTGATTTTTCTTCCTTGAGGACCAATGGGAAACTGATACTGCATTAAGAGTTTGCTTGCGAATTTATAATCGAAAAACCAACTAATGGCTTATGACTAACTAAACCTTTGGCATGTAACTTTCTAATCAGCTGCTATGCAATTGTTAAAATATTCGCTTTAAGTGTTTTAACCAACTATTTTGGCAGTGCAGAAAACAAGGTCATTACCAATGTAGTGAAGGTCAAGATTACCAACTAGTATGCCTTTCACTCGAAGTTTATTGTTTTGTTAGTTCTTAAACTAACGAAGCCATTAAAATGACTTCATTTAGGTTTATGCTATGCAGCAGTTAAGGAAATATGTTACTGTTAGAGTTTTTTTTAGTGTAACTGCTTTATTTCTGTTGACAGTAGTTATTGTCATATTTCACACCATAAGAATTTGTTATACATTTGCCCATATATTTTCTAAGTTATTCTGCTCGGGAAATACGCGGATTGTTTTTTTTTTTTAGTGCTTACACATTCAGTGCTTGTTCATTGAAAGTGATTTAAGAAAATACTCCACACATTTGGTAAAAACTAAAATTACATCTCTGCATCAAAAATACACTGCAGATGATAAATGCAAGAAGTTGCTTTGATTTTTTTATACCCTCAGCCATGTGGCTAGAGAGGATATATATCATTTGATACGGCCAAAACGTGCCTCATCGAAATAACGGTTTTAGACCCTAGGTCTCTTTGGACAAAATCCTTTTTAAGACATTTGGAGTCGATCCAGCGATGTCCGTCCGTCTGTCTCTTTGGCTAGCCGGTGCGCACCATAACTCTCGAAGGGAGTATCCGATTTTGTCAAAATTTGGTAGGGTAAGTGTACCTAAATTGAGCATGTCCCAGTAGTCGGCACTTTTTATTTTTAAGCCCAAATAAATAAAACTATTATAACTAAATATATTTTTTTACTTCAAATATATTGTCAGCTATCTTTGTGTACAATTTCGTTAAGAAAAGATTATTTGTTCTAAAAAAAATTAAATTTTTTTCTGTGAAGGTCCTCAACAATCCTTATTCTTAAGAAAAGTACAATAAAGACGTCGAATCAGTTGAACTAAACAAAAATATTATATTTTAATGAATTAATTTATTATTATTAATAATTATTCTTACAAAAAAATTGGTATGTCGACTGTTGGAACATGTCATACCGACAATTGGCAAGTGGTGCCGACTACTGGCAAAAAAAGCATTGTTTTAATAAAACTTCAAATTTATGAAATTTAATAAAAAGTTATAACACTTTATTTATTATTACAAAAACTATACAAAATTTCGAATCTGAATAAATTAACTTTGTAATAATTGAAAAGTTCCACTCAGAATGGTGAGCGATTAAAAACGCGAAAATCCTAAGAGTGCCGACTACTGGTACACTTACCCTACATCATAATATTACTATCAAACTTATAGTGAGTTGGAAGATGGGAAATATCGGTCCACTCCTTCTGGTAACTACCCCACAAAAGGTCGAAATTTTCAAATTTTCAAAAAAAAAACCTGTATGCCGGGTTGAACTTTAAATACCCTCTACCGTCTGGTACAAATTTGACAATTTTCAAAAATTTAAAATCTATTAAAAATTCTGTTAAAATCTTAAAAATACCGAATGTAGCCGTATATTAGGGTCTATACGACGACGTGGACCTGCATACGCAACTTTTGTCATAAGCCTGCACAGATAATTTTCTGGCATACGCTGTAGTATCCATTACGAACTTCAAATACAAAATTTGAAATAGTTTCCATAAATAATGTCGCTAAAATCATCAAAATACCGAAAATCGGGAGGAAATCGTTATATGGAGGCTATACGAAGACGTGCACCCACATGATCCATTTTCTGTCTTATGCTGTAGTCTCCATTACGAACTTCGAATACAAAATTTGAAAAAATTGCGGTAAATAATGTCGCTGAAATCATTAAAATACCGATTATCGGGGAGTCCTGCAGACATAATACACATTTGAGTAAATTTTTATCAACTTACTTCATTTCGTTCGGAATCTAGAGTGATTTCCGCAGACGGATAGAAGGTCGGACATTGTTGAGTCGGGGTATAAAAAAGAAATATTTTAATGCAAAGAAAGATCAAAGGATCACTCGATTTTTCTCCGATTTTAAAAATGGTAATAATTGCTACGTCAGCTACAAAAATGGACAATATCGGTCCACTCCATCAAGTACCTCCCGCCTAAGGGGTCAACATTTTGAATAATTATATTTCTTTTAAAATGTGATGTAAGAACCCGAATCTTTAAACATCACAAATCATAATATTTTATTAACCCAAGATCTAGTGTTAAGATAGGGAAAATCGGTCCACTACGTCTGGTACCTGCCCCACCAACAGTCAAATTTTTGAATATCCAAGAAGCTTATAAAACGAGAAATTAACATCAGATTTCACTCAAATTTGTCACATCACAATATTTCTATCAACGCAAGGTATTTTATAAAAATGGTAGACCCCACCCCACAAAGGGTCCAAATTTTGAATAACCAAAACGACAATAAAATAAGAAGAAATAACCTCTCCTACAAAGCGCTCACCATATTGAAAACAAACGCTCACAATCATTTTTGCTAACGCAAGACCAGTTAAGAAGATGATAGATATCTGCCGACCTATTCTGGTAGCTCGCCCACAAGGGATCACAATACTTACATCTGCCATAACTTGCGAATTCTTTACATCTTGCTATATCTAAATATTTCTCTCAACCAGAAACCTGATATGAATATGGAATTTATCGGAATTTATGATTGCTTGTAATTTTGCCCATGCTAGTATTTTTCCGAATTGATGAGAATTGTGCAATTCAGTCCAGCGGCTCTTGACTTATAAGCGGAATAACATCAACATTCATTTTTTTTATATAGATTGTACCTACTTCGCATATATCCGATATCTTGGTTATCAGTATCACTGTAATGGTCAGGAGTGACCGGTATTAAAAATATTCGCGATTTTGTGAAAATTCATCTTTTTATAACCTCCACCATAGTATGGAGGGTATATTAAGTTTGTCATTCCGTTTGTAACAGCTCGAAACATACATTTTATACCCCACACAGTATATATATTATTGATTAGCATAAAATTCTATGTCGATTTAGCGATGTCCGTCCGTCTGTCCGTCTGAGGAAATCACTCTAGCTTCCGAACGATATGAAGTAGTTTGATAAAATTTTACTCAAATGTATATTATGTCTGCAGGACATTAGGTATTGAAAATGGGCCATGCAGATCCACGTTTTGATATAGCCCCCATATAATGGTACCTCCTTATTTTCGGTATTTTCATGACTTCAGCGCCATTATTAATCGGAATTGGTTCAAATTTGGTATTTGAAGTTCGTAATTTGTACTACAGCCTAAAACAAAAAATTGTGTTTGCAGGTCCACGTCTTCATATAGCCCCATATAACGGCACCTCCCGATATTCAGTATTTTCATGATTTTAGCGACATTATTCACCGGAATTGTTTAAATTTTGATATTTGAAGTTCGTAATGGGTACTATAACATAAGACAGAAAATTGTCTGCCTAGATTCACGTCTTCGTATAGCTCCCATATAATGCTACCTCCCGACATTAAGTATTTTGATGATTTTAGCGACATTATTCATCGGAATAGCTTTTGGTATTTGGAGTTCGTAATGGAAACTGCAGCTTATGAAAGAAAATTGTCTGTGCAGGTCTACGTTTTGGTATAGCTCCTATATATAATGGTACTTAGTTATATTATTTATTTTGATTACATTATTCACAGAATGGCTTATGACAAAAGTTGCCTATGCAGGTCCACGTCGTCTTATGGACCCTAATATAAGGCCTACATTCGGTATTTTTAAGATTTTAACCGAATTTTTAGCGGAACATTTTTTTTTTTTTTTTGGGTGGGGAGGGTGGGTTTTTCAATATCGGCCCGGCCGAACTCATAAAATTTATGTTCTATTTCACCCGCTAAATTTTTGACCGATAGCCATCCAAATTGGTATGCTTCTGCGTCTATAATTGTGTCCTGTGGAGCCAGTGCAAATCTCAGGATATTTTTTTGTTTTTGGTACATTTTAACCCGTAAATATTTAGCGAACGTCTCCAAAAACAATAGACTTCTATTCTGACCGTAAACCAACCGTGAGAATCAGGCCATAATTTTGATCTGTAGTGTGATTATAAATTAACAGAGACAAACGGACAGACCGACCGACATACATAGCTAGATCGACTCAGCTTGGCGCTATAGATGGATCCATATATAGTTTCCAATGTCGGAGACCAATATTTTGAGGTGTTACATAATTTTTGGCCCAATCAAACTTGTAACACCCCCAACTCACAGTGTTGTAGGGTATAGTAAAAACCAGTCATATTTGGAAGCTCTCCTGCCTACACATTCAAAATTTATGTTGGCCAATCGAAGCGAAAGTTAGCATGAGGCTAGAGCTTCGGGCTGGGCAGAAGCCTTAAAATTTTGATGGTCATCGGGTAATATTTAGTGGTTGAAATAGACCATAGCATTTGCTATAAATAAAAGTCAAATTTTCCATTAAACCGCGAATATTTTTAATGCCGGCGAAATCACAAATAGACGAACAGGTCAATTCTGAACGTTACGTAGATGCCGATAGTAAAAATATCGGATATATACAATGTACATATACAAAGGAAGGGGATGTTCGTTAGAATGCTTATATCTCCAGAATGGCTGGAGCGATTTTTACCAATTTTGTCAATTTAGAATGCCCTTTTGGCATAAAAGTATAAAATCTAAAAAATCGCATAAAAAGATGCCAATAATGATGTTCATATAGATTTTGTAATGTTTTGTGACATTTTTTATTTTTTCATTTTTTTATCGCATGCGATTTGTTCAATTTCATTTAAAATATTGAAGTGTATATTTTTTCACTTTATAACAAAGGTTTGGGTTATTATTTATATATGTACAGATTGCAATTATCGTTCGATCCCCACGAAATTTTTCATAAAGGTAGAGTTAGGCTCAGAAGGGCTAAGCCTATTGTTTTCAAAGATGTCCGCAATATATTTAGGGGTTGAAATAAACCAATAACGAAAAATGTTCCTGATTTTGCAGCCGAAATAGAAACCAAAGGACACTTAATCTCGCATGAAGTTAGAGTTTAGGACAGCGGGTAGAATGGACCACTACTTTTGTGTGAAAAAATACCAAATTAACCAAAAACAGAAAAATATTCCTGATCACACAATTGAAACCAATCGACACGCCAAGAGAGTAAAGGACAGGGAAGAAGTCCTAGCATTTTAGATGCCAATGGGTTATATTTAGCTGTAGATTGACCACAACAACTTACAGCACGACGGAGTGCGCAAATATTGGGAATATGTCCCTGTGTTCTATGACATAATTTCAAAAGCGAAATCTTCCAAAATATATTTGGACATAAGGGGGCTTCTAATATATTTTAGTGTTGTAGGGTTATCACATGGTCGGCCCCGCACGACTATAGCCTTTGCTTACTTGTTTTATATTTAATTCAATACTTTTTTTTTATTTTGGCCACAAAATCGATTCTGAAATCACTTTGTGGTGATATACTAAACATTTAACACATTTATCAATTGATTGGTATTTTGGGTTCGTAAAGGGCGCACAGTTATCTATTTACAGGTTACACTATCCCCAAATTTTTGGAATCTAACTTTCAGCTCCTTAAAAACATATTCCTGGCGTACGCCTTACAAAAAAAAAATACTCTTCTAATATTTTTAAATAATTCCAACTATGTCATGCCTAATGCACCATAGTTTCGTTTTAATGCCTGCTGTGAAAGGCATAACCGACTCAAAAACATTTTAAACCAGGCAGCCAACCTTGCATACAAAACAATCGTAAAAACTAAAATTGCATTGTTAAAATACTTGCCCTAAAACTATATTTGCTTCGCATTAGTATTTCGAGTAATTAGGTGATATAAATATAGTTTACAACCTCTTCGAGTTAATTTCTGTCTAAGGTATAAAACAATCAACATTTCTTAGTCAAGCGTCAGTTAGCCATTGAACTTCTGTATTGCCACAAAGAAATATCGAATCGTTAAAGAAAATGCGTCCTTATATGTCCTTGATTGCTATTTTAGCTGTTGGTGTCATCCTTGTTGATGCTGCGCCACACAAACACTCGGGCCATGGTCATGGAGAGGCTACCAGTTATGCCGTTGTAACCAAACATGAAGATCATCATGACGGTCATCACGGAGGAAGTGGATATGGTCACCATGGACATGGCCACCATGTTGAACATCATGGTATAGGTGGTGATCATTACGGTGATGGTCAAGGAAGTGGTCATCACGATGATAGCCATGATTATCACAGTTATCCTAAATATGAATTCAATTATGGCGTCGAGGATTCCAAAACCGGTGATGTCAAAAATCAGTGGGAAACCAGAGATGGCGATCAGGTTAAGGGTGAGTATTTAATGATCTAGAGTTCTGTATTATGATTTATTTAATTATATTTTTTTATTGCATTTATAGGAAGTTATTCTCTCAAAGAATCCGATGGAACAACTCGTGTTGTAAAATATACTTCAGATAAGAAAAATGGATTTGAGGCTACCGTTGAAAAAATTGGTCATGCCAATCATGCTGACGAGAAGCAAAATCATTATGACCACGGACATTCCGCTAACCACGACGATTATTATGGCCGTGGAGAAGCCAGCAGTTATATAGTGGTCAAGAGCCATTAAAGAAGGCCAAATAAGACTACCGAATGGAGAAGGAAAGAAGTAAATGCCGATATTCTGCTTATAACCTTGTAATATTTATAAATCTATGAGATAGTAGTAATAAATAAGAGATATATCAATCGACAATATAAGTAGAAGTTTGCCTAATTATTATCAAGGGAAATAGCCTAGATATTGCTTTTCGTTCGTAATTAATCATTACATAGGGATACATCTTTGCCATACAGGGTGAGATAAAAAAGTCAAACACCGTTTTTTTACTTTTTTAAATTTATTGACTGAAAGCAAAAAAAAAAAAAAAATGTCGGAAATAGCATCAAATTTTAGAATAAGTTTAGATTTCTTCGAACTGGTCAATGAAACCGTCACACGCTGCCCGAATGTTGGTCTGCGGTATTTTGACACATTCTCGGCGAAGCGCTTGCTTGAGGTGATCGACACTTTGGTATTTTTTAGTGTCAACCTGGCTTTCCAAAATACTGCAGACACAATAGTTCAACGGATTGGTATCCGGAGATTTTGGTGGCCATTGTGCACTGAAAATGAAACGAGGAACTTCTTTTTATAACCATTCTTGGGTGGGGATGGTGCTCAGTCCTGTTGGAATGTCCAAGGTCTGCGGCTTTAATACACCCTCCATAATATTTTCGCGATAATATTCGGCATTTATTCTGATGCCACGATCGATTAATACGAACAGAGAGCGACTATTGACTGTTATGGCGGCCCACACCAACACCATGGCCGACTCTTGAATTCTAGTGGCCAACCGAAGGTGCACATTTTCAGCTGACCTCTTGGCAAGTAAACACGAGCATTTTGTTTGTTTTTTTTTTTTTTTTTTTCATCGGAGAAAACCAAATTCGGAAGTTTACCACTTTCGGCCAAGCGAAGCAACTCTTTAGTTCTTTTGAGTCTATTTTCTTTCTGTTTCGGTGCAAGTTCTTGCACTTTTTGGAATTTCAATAGCTTTACCCCGAGCTCAATTTTTAATAGTTGCCGAATGGTATATATATATAGCTTACGAGCCATTTTTCGGCCACTGCGACGTTCGGTCTCAATTATGGACCAATCTTCATAAAATTTTGCAAGGTGCTAAGGTTAGGGTCATAATAGAAGCATAGTGTGTTTGGGGATATTCACAAAATATTGGTAGATGAATTGGACAAATAATTTCCTGATTTTTCAGTCGCTCTTTAGATCATAATGGTTAGGGTTTTGGATGGAACTGAAGACTTCCATTTTGGATGGTCGCCAGATAATATTTAGCTGGTAACATAATTATTATACCCTTAGCCATATTCTGTGCCTCATCGAAATAACGATTTTAAATCCTAGGTCTCTTTGGATTGAATCCGTTTCATCAGGTGCGTACGATAATTTTGGAAGGAATTATCCGACTTGCGTGTACATCGTAATACTTCACTTATTATCGATGGAGTTCGGAGATGGGTAATATCGGTGCACCCCTTCTGGTGTCTGCCCCACAAAAGATCAACATTTTCAAAGCAAAGATGTGAAAATTTGCAAACTTTCCAATTTTTATCATAGCTCAATCAGATACGAAAATTGACAATATCGGACAATTCCATCAGTTAGCCCCCTCCACACCGTTCAATATTTCTACTAATACAACCGACCACATCATCTGGTACATCCGCCACAGCGTATCGAAATTCATTTTAAACTTCACACAGATAGCAATCCACTCCTTTTGGTACCTACCACACAAAGGCGTCAAAATATTGAATAAGCACAACACGCATAAACTGCGCAATAAACATCCGATTATCTTCAAATTTCACACATCTTAATATAGAGGGCAATAAGAAAAAACTGCAACCAACTTCAGACTGCTGTCATTTCTAAGTCACTCGTCTGACAATTGTTAAAATGACTCCAGTGACAGCTCAATATATTGTTTAAAAGCGTACAAAAGCATTTTGGTGAGAATTTTCCAGAAAAAATTATTCATTATGGAATTCAAGCGTGTTAGTGTAATTTCTTTATACTTGGCTGGAAAAGCACAAGCGCATTTAAATGTGAAATAAAATAAAGGACTCAGCACCATCGCACTCAGCACGCTCCACCCAAGAATGATTGCAAAATGAGGTTCCTCGCTTCATTTCCAGCGCACATTGGCCACCAAAATCTCCGGCTATCAGTCAGTTGGACTATTGTGTCTGAGTATTTTGGAAAGCAAGGTTGGAACTAAGAACTAACAAAGTGTCGATCACCTTAAGCATGCGTTTCGTCGGGAATGGGCCAAAATACCGCAGAACAACATTCGGGCAGCGTGTGACGGTTTCGTTGGCCGTTTGAAGGCCATAATTCGTGCCAAAAATTAAAAAAAATGTAAAAATTATGGCGTTAGACTTTGTTGCAGTTTTTTTATCTCACCCTATATCGGGTTCCCCTTTTGGTACTTAGGACTTTTGGTACTAAACAGGTACCCATATACCTGTACCGACAGATTTAAGTTATTTGGGTGTTTTAGTCACAGATTTAACGCGAATTTTGTGTACATTGGCAGTATGAGTTCCCATTAGTTAGGAAACATCCTTGCCTAGAACTGTCAATAAGTTTTGATATAGACCTCATATAACTATAACACCATATATTCGATATTTTGATGATTATAATCATTACTCACAGGATTTGTTTAGAATTGTGTACCTAAAGTCCTTAATGCGTGCTAACATCTGTGACAGAAAATTGCAAATGTGTGACAGAATATCAGGGTAACCGTTAAATGAGGGCTTGGCACCTACATGACCCATTTTTTGTCTTAGTTGGTAGTAACTTTATTGAACTTCAAATACGAAATTTAAAACAATTCCGGTGAAAAATGTTGCTAAAATGATCAATATACCGAATATTGGGAGATACCGTTATGTAGGGGCTATACCAAAACGTGGACCTACATGGCCCATTTACGAACTTAACATGCCTACTGGCAAAATAAACATGTATGCAAAATTTTAGCCTTCTATATCAATTCGTTCGAATGATAGCATGATTACAACAGACTGACGGACAGACAGACATCGCTAAATCAACTTAGAATTTTACGCTGATTAAGAATATATATACTTTGTTGGGTCTGACATGAGTATTTCGAGGCGTTACAGATGGAATGACAAAGTTAATATACCCTCCATAGTATGGTGGAGGGTATAAAAAGAAAAAACTAAGTTCAGCTAGTTACTTATAAACCCAACTAAATGAATATAAGAAATCAAATATTTAGAATAAATGTTTAAGAATTCCAAATATGTATTCCAATATCTTAAGAAATTCGTTCATTCTTCATCACTTCTACCGAAACTTTATCGTAAATTATCGTGTTGTAGGGTATCACATGGTCGTCCCCGCCTAACTTATCTCTTATCTCTTAACCATAATTTCAACTCCTCAATTTTCCAAGATCATTGCCAAAAATAGGGAAAAATAAACATTTAAATTATTTTAAAATATCGCTAGGGTGAGATCCGACAATTTTGATAAAACGTTTCAGTTTACCAAAAAGTTTGCATTAAAAGCTTAATATTGCTTCCGTTTGATGCAATCTGCAGATAAATTTAAATAAAAGCCTTAAACTGAACAGGTGCATGCAAAAGGGTGCTTACTGAAATTACTCAAGATTTTTCCCAAACTCACCATAAATGGTTGTCTAAGAACAGGTTTGTGATAGATATCTTGATAACATTTAAAAAAGAAATACAAAAATAATTCTTTAAAGAATGGTTTGTAACATTAATTGAAATTGCAAATTTTAATGGGTTTCTTTATAACTTGGGAATTCATTTAATGCAATAAAATCTGTTAGATTAGGAAACTAAAACATAATGGCTTGATAGTTATCACACCTGATTTTTTACTGATTAGCACTGAAGTTATTTAAGATAGAGATTAAAGAAAAATCTGCAAAAAAACTAAAGTAAAATATTTTAACATTTCCGTTAGCTTGAGAATTTCTTATGATTTGTCATTTACGCGTACTTATTTTATGCCTGCATAAAAATATAGTTAATTGCAAATTAGATCACTAAAAAACTTGCGAAATTGGTATTCCCTGGTTTGGTGAAAGATTTTGATATAAAACGGACAAAAATTCAATACCATATCAGTTTCCAACCGAACGTCATAGAAAATTTGTATTGCGGAACAAAAACGAGAGAATGCGTTTGGTAATAGCTTTATTTTCAATTTCCGTAATTTATGCGGTACCTTTTCCCCACAAGGATAATATCTATGCTCTTGGACATAATGTTAAGGCCACCAGCTATGTTGCGGTAACCAAACACGAAGGCAAACACGATGATCATAATGGACATAATGGAGAGAAAAATCATGGCTATGATGATTATAAAGCAAAAAGTCATCACGGATATGGCAAAAACGAGGGACATAATAAAAAGGCTACCAGTTTTGTAACTATCACCAAGATCAAGCATCAAAAAGATAACAATTATGGTCAAGAGAGTGAGAGTAAGCATGGATATGACCATAATTATCATGCAAAAGGCGAGATGCACCATTTAGAAAATGAGGGAAGCAAGACACTTCGAAAAGAAACTACATTTTTTGTTACAACCAAACACGAAGATAACGTAGATGGTCATTTTGGGCTTCATCAAGGATATGGCAACCATGCTGAAGGACATACCGGCGGCTATGAGCATCAAGGAAAAGAGAATCAAGGGCAACATCATGAAAAAGCTACCAGTTTTGTCACTGTGACCAAACACGAGGATCATCATGGCGATAATAGGCATCAAGGTATGGCAGGCATGAAATACAAGAAAAATCATGGACACGAACAACATGGGAAAGCAACAAGTTTTGCCGTCGTAACCAAATATGAAAATAAAAATGGTAGTCAATATGGCCACCAACATAAACATAATCACCATACGGCAGGATATGGATTCGCTCATGATGCTGATAATCAAGATGTAGATGCAGCTGTAACCAAATACGAAGATAAGCTTAATAATCACAAAGGATATCGGTATGTTCATGGACACGATCAGAACGCAGAAGGACCCAGTTTTTCGATCGAAACCAATCATAAAGGTAAACATAATAGCTATGAACACGATCATAATGAGCACCACATATATAACAAGCATGAGGAACATCATGGAAAAGCAACCAGTTTCGCCACTGTAACTAAACACGAAGTTAAGAACGATGACCATTCTGGACATGACTCTCATACAAGGGGTTACAAGAAACACGAATACAATCATGGACACGAACAACATGGAAAAGGTCCCAGTTTTGCTGTTGTAACCAAACATGAATATAAACATGGACATGGACACGATCATAAGAAGCTCGAAGAATACAGCAAACACCAGGGACATCATGGAAAGGCTACCAGTTTTGCCTCTGTCTCCATACACGAAGGCACACATGAAAATGATAACGGAGAGAAAGTCAATAAGGAGTACCAAAATGGTCATGGCAATCATGCAGAAAGTCATAAGGAGCACAAGGATAATCATGGACACGAAGAGCAAGGAAAAACTTCGGGCTTTGTTGTTGCAACCAAACATGAATATAATCATGGACATGGACACGATCATAAGAAGCTCGAAGAATACAGCAAACACCAGGGACATTATGGAAAGGCTATCAGTTTCGCCTCTGTCTCCATACACGAAGGCACACATGAAAATGATAACGGAGAGAAAGTCAATAAGGAGTACCAAAATGGTCATGGCAATCATGCAGAAAGTCATAAGGAGCACAAGGATAATCATGGACACGGAGAGCAAGGAAAAACTTCGGGCTTTGTTGTTGCAACCAAACATGAATATAATCATGGACATGGACACGATCATAAGAAGCTCGAAGAATACAGCAAACACCAGGGACATTATGGAAAGGCTACCAGTTTCGCCTCTGTCTCCATACACGAAGGCACACATGAAAATGATAACGGAGAGAAAGTCAATAAGGAGTACCAAAATGGTCATGGCAATCATGCAGAAAGTCATAAGGAGCACAAGGATAATCATGGACACGGAGAGCATGAAAAATCTTCCAGTTTTGCTGTAGTAACGAAACACGAATATAAACATGGACATGGACACGATCATGAAAAGCACGAAGAATACAGCAAAAATAAAGATCATCATGGAAAGGCCACCAGTTTCGTCTCAGTAACCAAACACGAAGGTATGCTTGATGATCATGTCAACAAAGATCATCAACGTGGGCATGCTTATCATGTGATAAGTCAGAGGAAATATGCCAAAAATCATGAGCACCATGGGAAGAGCTCTAGTTTTGTTGCCATAACCAAACATGAGACCAACAACGAAGGAAAAGGACACAGCCAACGAGAGCAATACGAAAGTAACAAACATCAGGAGCATCAGGGCAAGGCTACAAGTTTCGTCTCAGTAACCAAACACGAAGGTAAGCACGAAGTCCAGAACGAACATCAAGACAAAAGCAAACATCAATATGGTCATACTTATAACGGGAAAATCCATGAGCAACACGAAGAGAGCCATGTAACCGAGAAGCATGGAAAACTGACAAAGCACCATGTAAATCATGGAGATGCTCATAAATTTCAACACAATCATAAAGAAGAGAGTCATGGAAAGGGGCATCATATAAAAAATCATGAACATAAAAAACACGAGGAAACCCATGGAAAGGCTACTAGTTTTGTTGTTGTAAAGAAGCATGAAGGCAAACTTGAAGATCATCAGACCAAAAACAACGGATATGGTTATCATACTGAGAGTCATGGCCATAATCAATGGGGTCATAATGGAAATCCTAAATATGAATTTGAATATGGTGTCAAGGATGGCAAAACCGGCGATATTAAGCAGCAATGGGAATCCAGAGATGGTGATAACGTGAAAGGTAATGCCTTTAATTTGCCTGTATTAGGATTATATTTTTATACCCTCCACCATACATAGTAAGGAGGGTATATTAAGTTCGTCATTCCGTTTGTAACTCTTCGAAATATTCATTTTAGACCCATCAAAGTATATGTATTCTTGATCAGTGTAAAATTCTAAGGCTAAGATTTAGCCCTATCCGTACGTCTGTTCGTCTGTTGTAATCACGCTACAGTCAAAACGAATTAAGATAGGAAGCCTAAATTTTGCACAAATCTCTCTTTTGTCCCCAGGCAGATCAAGTTCGAAGATGGGCTATATCGGTCCACGATATCGTATAGCCCCCATATAACGGTACCCTCCGATATTCGGTATTTTGATGATTTTAGCAAAATTTTTCAATGGAATTGTCTGAAAATCCACAGAAGGAGTCCCTTGTGAGCACTTTACCCCCTGAAAGAAAATTGTCTTCATAGGTCCACGACTCCGTATAACCCCCATATAACGGTACAACCCGATATTAGGTATTTTGATGATTTTAGCCACATATTTTATTGAAATTGTCTTAAATTCCACACAAGGAGTCCCTTGTGAGTACTTTACACCCTGAAAGAGAATTGTCTATATAGGTCCACGATATCGTATATCCCCCATATAACGGTACCCCCCGTTATTCGGTATGTTGATGATTTTAGCCACATTTTTCAACGGAATTGTCTAAAAAGCCACACGACGTGTTCGTTGTGAGTACTTTATACCTTGGAAGAGAATTTTCTATATAGGTCTACAATACAGTACCCCCGATAATCTGTATTTTGATGATTTTAGCCACATTTTCCCATGGTATTGCCTGAAAATCCACTCCAGAAGTTCCTTCTGAGTACTTTATCCCGTGGAAGATAATTATCCCCGATATTCGGTATTTTGACAATTTTTCAACGGAATTGTCTGAAATTCTAAACAAGAAGTTCTTTGTGAGCACTTTACCCCCAGACATAGATTTGTCTATATAGGTCCACAGTATCTTATATCCCCCCATATATCAGCACCTTCCGATATTAGGTATTTTAAAGATTTTAACAGAATTTTTAATGGATTTTATTTTTTGGATATTTTCTAATTCTTCCCAAATGGTGGAGGGTTTTCAAAGTTTTGCCCGGCCGAACTTACTACTTTTTTACTTGTTATAAATAAATATTTACTTTCACATTTCCAGGCAGTTATTCTCTCAAGGAATCTGATGGAACAACTCGGCTGGTGAAATACTCTTCGGACAAGAAGAGCGGTTTTGAGGCTACTGTTCACAAAATCGGTCATGTAGAAGAGAAGCAAAAATTGGCAAGCATGGTAACTAAAAAATGAAATCAATCGCTCTAAAAATAGTTAATAAGGCAACGCAATATCGAAAGTCCTACTAAACTTAATCGAATTTTTAAATTAAATGATTAATTATTAAACTGTATATTATAAATAAATTTTGTGCATTAACAATATACAACCTCAAAATCTTAACTCGTATTCAGCAGTTTTTGCCAAGATATTTTTACAAAATATCTATTTACAGTCATATGGGCTGTAATAGGGAGAGGCTATATAAAAGATGCTATATATAAAAAATATAGGGAGAGGCTATATAAAATCCTACACCGCCATGATTTTTTCGCAGTTCTTACCTTCTTATGGCCAGTATTAAGTGTTACACTATTTAGAGCTATTGAAAACGGATGGGAGCTATATTCTAAAATAGGTACATATTCTGCTACACTTGATTAATAGGGCTCACTTTTTCTAGTTGGAACTTGACTGTTACAAGGCCCTCTATGGAATAAGTGGACTCATTAAGCTTTATTGGGTTCCAAGACATGACAATATGAATGAAGTGGCTGATGAAATAGCTCCGACCGGATTATAGTCGATTGATGCGGCTGTTATACTGCCAAAAGACTATATGTCAACTGCTTCAAAAAATCTGTCATCGTAGAGGCTGGAAACATATGTCACTTGGAAACCAGTTGCAGAGTTGGGATGCCATCTGACGGGTAATCTCGAGGAGAAGAAATTATCCCTTCTATCACTTAGTAGATCTGATTTAAGAATCATGGTAGGAATACTGACTGGTCAGATTTTCGGCATACAATTTTAAACAATTAAAAAAGCTGAAAGTTCAGCCGGGCCAAACTTTGAATACCCTACTCCATTTGGAACGATTTTGGCAATTCTCAAAAGCAATTAAATCGGTTACAAATTTTGTTAAAATCTTAAAAATACCGAATGTAGATGTTATATTAGGGTCTAAATTCATCAAAATAATGAATATCGGGTGGTACCGTTTCATGGGGGCATTATGAAAACGTGGACCTGCACACACAATCTCCTGTAATAAGCTGTAGCATCCATTACGAACTTCAAACACTAAATTTGAAACAATTCCGGCGAATAATGCGCTAAAATCATCAAAATATCGAATATTCGGAGGTACCGTTATACGAAGACGTGGACCTGCATAGACAATCTCCTGTCATAGGCTGTAGCATCCATTACGAACTTCAAACACTAAATTTGAAACAAGTCATGTGAATAATGACGCTACAATCATCAAAATACCGAATATCGGGTAAATTATATTAAATTCGGAAGCTAGAGTGATTTCCACAAGCTGATAGACGGACAGTCGGCCCGCACTGCTAAATAGGCATAGCATTTTATGCAGATCAAGATACTTTGTGGGGTCTAAAATTTATATTTCGAGGTGTTCAAATGTAATGACAAACTTAACATGCCTTCATAATATGGTGGAGGATATAAATATACAAATAAATATAAATATACCAGATAGGATCATTCATATGTAGTTATATTTAACCAGATGAGAAAACCGAATTTTTAACCAAATTTGAAGGACTTACTTCTAGGCGAAATTCGGTCGGATGTGCTGAAATTCATCCCATTTGGATGAACATGGCGCACAATAAAATACAAATCGAACGAAAGTGTACATGGGAGCTATAACCAAATTTGGACCGATTATCAACAAATCATTGGTGGAAAATTTCATTAGAGAATAAATACAACCTGCAATTTTTATACAAAATACATGAACAGATGGAGGAACAAAAGCCATTTCGAATTTGTGAGAATTAATAAGTTCCGCACAGCCGTTCTCGAGCTGTAAGTGGTCTTACTAACACCCCCTTCTTTGATATACATAGAATGTATATATTTTGCTATATAGCCGGATGTCAGCATCAACGTAACGGTCAGAAGTGACCTTTTCGTGTATTTGTGATTTCGCCAGGATTAAAATTATTCGCGGTTTAATGGAAATTTTCTCATCTGTTTACATCTATTTCACCCGCTAGATGTTGTTCGATGACCATCCAAGTTAATAGGCTTCTGCCCACCCCTAATCTCTAGCCCCATGCTAAATTCCAAGTGGAATAGCATATGAGTGTGACTTCTAGAGCAAATGCAAAATCAGGTAAATGTTCTGTATTTGGTCCATTTAAAAGCCCACATATTTTGCGATCATCTCTAAAAACAAAAGGCTTCTCTTCTGACCCTAACCACAACCATAGCCATTAACTTATAATTACGATATCTAGCGTAATTTAACATGGACGTACGGACGGACACTCATGACTAGTTCGTCTCAGCTCGGCGAAATAGGAAGATCCGTACATAAAATCATATCTGCAGGACCAATATTTCGAGGTGTTACATAATTTTTGGTCCAATCAAATTGACTTTAGATCAACACCTTGTGTTGTAGGGCATAATAACAACATTGGTTTAAGCCTGACTATCTTGAGACAACAAAAATGTGCCATAAGTATTCATTTATTACCGCATACTGGTATATTTGCTTTTAATAAATTATACACTTCATTTTTAAAAATGTGACATTTATTTTAGATAATCTCAACCATGAATTTCGAAGTTTCCATTCAACACACAGACATCTCAAGAGTTTTCAGTGACCGTAGTAACCATTATGTTCAGCTTTTCCGCCAGCACCATTAGCTTGCCCAATTTTATGAACTGTGGCCTCAAAGCCATTCTTCTTGTCCGAGGTGTAGGTAACAATTCGAGTTGTTCCATCTGATTCCTTGAGAGAATAGCTTCCTAAAATTTTTAAAAAATATAAAAAAATATTTAATACAATATTGGGAATAAGTATAGCGCACACGTACCCTTAACGTTATCGCCATCCCTAGATTCCTGATGCTCTTTCACATCACCAGTTTTTGAATCTTCCACACCGTAGGCGAATTCGTATCTGGGATGGGAGTTGTAGTCATCACCATGACCATCTACATGGCCATGACCATGACCTCCATAGTGATCATTTTTAGCACCGTCATATGCTTTCTGTCCACCATGTTGACCGCCAGCCGCATCTTCGTGTTTGGTTACAACTGCATAACTGGTGGCATGACCACTACCTCCACTGCCAGATCCAGGTCCATCGGAATGTTGCTTATAGGGAAGTGGCCCTGCAATGGTCAAGGCGGCGCATGTAGCCAAAATTGCAAATAAAGTTATGGCGAAACGCATTATGTGGCCGTGCTGTAGCAGTAGCTGTATAGGTTTCGAAGTTCAATGGGTAACTGATGTTGAATTGCACTTTTGCCAACTAATTTATATTTTTCAGCAATGTACATAAGCAGTGTAATTCGAAAAAATATGTATTCGAAATGTGGTGTTGGTAATTTTGTATCTAATAACTAAATATTGTGGAAACAAGGTCAATGCCAAATTACTATTGATTTTATCTAGAAAAGTCATATATTTTATTTATTCCGATTTGGAGAATAATCTATGATTTTCTTTAAAAAATGAATATATTTTTAAGATTCCTTAGAGTTGATATAGAGAAAATTTAAGCTTGTTTGTTACACAGGCATACCTATTATTGATCACGAAGAATTTAATATATTCACAAAATATAAAATAACTTTTTTAGATTCCCTCCTAGTATGGAGGGTATATTAAGTTTGTCATCCCTTTTGTAACACCTCAAAAAAATACATTTAAGACCCCACAAAGTACATATATTCTTGATCAACATAAAGTTCTATGTCGATTTACCCATTTCTTTCTGTCTATCTGTTTGTCTGTCGAAATCACGCTAGCTTCCGAACGAATTGAAGTAGGTTGATAAAATTTTATTCGCATATGTGTTTGGTCTGCAGGACTTTTGGAATTGAAAATGGGTTATATAGGTCCACGTCTTCGTATAACCCATATATAATGGTACCACCCTATATTCGGTATTTTAATGATTTTCATTTTGTTTCAAATTTCGTATTAGATGTTCCTAATAGGTACTACAGTCTGTGAGAGAAAATTGTGATGTTGGTCCGGGTCTTCTTATAGGCCCCACATAACGGTTCCTTTATATCTTCGTTATTTTGATGTTTTTGCGACATTATTCATTGTTGTTTCAAGTTTCAAATTTGAAAATTGCAATGGCCTATGTGCAGGTCAAAGTCTTCGTATATAACCCAATATAGCGGAAACTCGCTATATTCGGTATTTTTAAGATTCTAACAGATTTTTTAACGGATTTTATTGTACCATCCACCTTGAAAAGGTAGGTGTATTAACTTTGTCATTCCGTTTGTAACATCCCTAAATATTCGTCATAGACCCCATAAAGTATGTCCGTCTGTCTGTCTGTTGTAATCACAATACAGCCCACATTATTTGACGTAGAGCTTTAAAATTTTGCAGTACAATTTGTATTGTGTCATGGATGGTTGGTATTGAAAATTAAATATTTCTGTCCATGTTTTGGTATAACCGCCATATAACGGTACCTCCCAATATTCGGTATTTTGATGATTTTTGCCACATTTTTCCACGGATCTGTCTAAAAATTGGAATTTTTTGATCATAACGGGTTCTAGTTCCAGTGGCGAAACAATGTGTGTATAGGTCCACGTTTTTGAACAGCCCCTTTATAACAGTATCTCCCAATATTCGGTATATTGATGATTTTTGACACATTTTTCCACGGATTTGTATAAATATTGGTGTTTGTAGTTCGTAATGGGTTCTAGCTCCGGTGGCAGAACATGAAATATTTAGGTCCACGTTTTTCTATAGCGCACATATTACGATACCCAGCAATGTTTGGTATTTTGATAATCCTTGTCACTTTTACCCACAAAATTGTTTCAAATTTAATATTTAAGAAGATTTTTCTTTACCCAAAGGTGAAGTGTATTAAAAGTTCGGTCCGGCCGAACTAAATGTTATTGAACTTGTTTTATATTTACGTATTTATTTATTTATTTATTTTTTAATTTTCAAATTCGTTCCAAAGGGTGGATGGTATTCAAGGCCAAACATACTGCTTTTTAGTTGTTTTTCATTAGAGTCTGGTGAACTAACATAGCTTTTATTTTAACTACAGTTTTCTCCTTAGTACTTATAAACTTTCTAATTGCATAATTGACCTTGAATGTGTTGTTAATGGGCTTTCTCTGTTGCACTGCCAATTGCTTCCAAATGTAATTACCACCGTTAACAGTAAGAGTATAAAACAAACAACTAAATTACATTCCAGTATCAGTTTCCCATTGACCATTGGTTTTTACTAATCATCCAGTTTCTAAAATCTACATAATGCCTTCTCCGATGACCGTGTTTACTTTTTTGGCTATTTGCATTGCCTTATCTGTAGCTGGACCTCTTCCTTATAAGCAGGACGGTAGTGGTCATGGAGAGGCCACTAGCTATGCTGTTGTAACCCAACACAATGACAAGGGAAGTGGTTCGGCAAAATACGGTAAATCTGACGTCCATTCTGGACATGGTGATGATCATTCGGGAGATTATTACAGCTATCCTAAATATGATTTCGCCTATGGTGTTGAGGACTCGAAAACCGGTGATATCAAAGAACAACAGGAATCCCGAGATGGAGATAAAGTACAAGGTAGGATTAGATAACTGGTTCCTTAATTGTATATTAATTTGGAAATTTTATTTTAATTGTAGGAAGCTATTCTCTCAAGGAATCCGATGGCACAACTCGTCTAGTGACATATACTTCCGATAAGAAGAGCGGTTTCGAGGCTACGGTTCATAAAATTGGTCAAGCCAATGCCGGATCCGGTTATAAGCATGGTCATTAAAAACGATACATATATTGTTGGAATTTTGGTTCATAATGTGAAAAGAGGAACATCTAAATGTCGAGTTAAATAAATTGAAAATATTTTCATATTGAAAAAAATGGTTTATGTATGAGCTTGACTTTTTTCTTAATATAACTAGCGCCAAAAGTGAAATCCGCTATTTTTAGACTTGTTTGTTATTATTACCTATACTATGGACGTGGATATATTGGAGATATTTATTATAACCTTGATACCGATTTAACTGCATTTTGGCTCTTGGGCCATTCGACTTTTTGACAATTTTTGTTTATCAAAAGTGAAAAATCTCATTCCAAAAATTAATATCGACATTTTTAGATATATTGTGAAAGGTATAAATCGAATCAGATTTTGATATATGTTGTCGCCTGACCTCACTTTCATTTGTAAAAAATTATGATTATGACTATCATTTACTATTTTTAAATAACGTTTTGTAGAAGAGTTTTACATAAACTAGTGTGAAGTTTGACCTTAACCCTGAAAAGTTTTAACGTATTTATAAATTTCTGACGTTTAGGTAAAATATGGATCAATATAAAATTCTAAGTAGATTTAGCCGTGTCCAGCCGTCTGTGAAAATCACTCTAGCTTCCAAATGGAATGAAGAATGTAGATGCAATTTTGTTTAGATATATTTCAAAATGTATTATATGTCCATGTTTTGGTATAACCCCCATATAACGGTACCGGCTGATTTACGATGATTTGAAGTTCGTGATTGGTGTTCCCTTTTATGACAGGAAATTGCTTATGTACGTCAACATCTTCGTATAACTCCTATGTAAGTAAACCTGCAAGTATTTGGCATTTTCCTTATTTTGGCCACATCTTCCACAGGAATAAATTCAAACTAAGAATTCGGAGTTCGTAATGGATACTGTTTTTTATGACAGAAAATTATCTGTTATGGTTCACATATTCTTATATTCCCCATATTATGGTGTCTTACGATATTCGATATTTTTCTCGATTTTAGCCACATTTTTCGTGCTCAATATGCACTCCACAGTACTGATCTTTGGTACTAAATATCAGATACAGCCCAAAAATACCTCTGTCATTTTTTTTTACAAGATCGGTTAAGATTTGATCGACTACAAATTTAGTGAAAATTGGTTCAGATATAGCCATATATATATATATATATACTATATATATATATGGTTCATCCGATTCGATGCTAAAGTCCCTCACATGCTTAATATACGCTCCATTACAATTATATTTGATACCAGACATCAGATATTGTTTGAAAATAATTCTGCCAAATTTTATTGTGGCCGGTTCAATTTTTTTATTGCTTCTATATACATCTTAATTCGATTTTACGCTTATTGTCCACCATATACGTAATGTTATTGGATAGATTTTTTAGTATTTTTTTAGTATTCAAAATATTGCTCCAATAAATATATTTTTTATTATTTAATACTAGAGGTACAAAAGCCTCCATCAAATTTTTTGGAAATTATTTCAGAGTTGGATATAGTTCCCAAATTGTGACTATTCTAAAGACATGATACGCATTCAAATAAGGTTCATAGTTTTTTTACGGGAGATCTACGATGTACGCATAGTAGTTATGGTATCATATAGTCGGGCCCGGCCGACTTTTGGCTTTTCCTTACTGGTTTCAACTGAAGTTTTTCCAAATGGTGTAGGTTACCAAAATTTTGGTCCGGTCATAACCAACTGAGAATTTTTAGTAATTGTTTGTTTGAATGCCGTAACAGATATATTTTGGTTTAGTTTATTTATTTGTTTGACATAGTTTACATTTCTTCATCTTCAATCATTTATCATTTATTTAAAATAGCCGGCAATATTTAGTATTTTTTTTAATGTTTAGTGACCATACTTGTATTCAATTCCAGCATTGGCTTGACCAATTTTATGGACCGTAGCCTCGAAACCGCTCTTCTTATCGGAAGTATATGTCACCAGACGAGTTGTTCCATCGGATTCTTTGAGAGAATAGCTGCCTACAATTTAAAAAATCCAAAATTAATTACAAAATTCGGAAACTAGTTTTTAAATCCTACCTTGTACTTTATCGCCATCTCGGGACTCTTGCTGTTCCTTAATGTCACCGGTTTTCGAGTCCTCAACGCCATAGGCGAAATCATATTTAGGATAGCTGTAATAATCTGCCGAATGGTCATCACCATGTCCAGAATGGCCATCAGATTTACCGTAATGATCGCCTCCATGACTATAGCCGCCATCGGATTTTGCCGAACCACTTCCCTTATCATTGTGTTGGGTTACAACAGCATAGCTAGTGGCCTGTCCATGACCACTACCGCCCTGCTTATGAGGAAGAGGTCCAGCCACAGTTAAGGCAATGCAAATGGCCAAAAAAGCAAACACGGTCATTGGAGAAGCCATTATGCTAATTTTTCAAACTGGTTCAAGATGCTTAGTTAACTTCAAAGTCCAAAAGGAAACTGATACTGGCATGTAATTTTGTTGGTTGTTTTATACTCCAACTATTCACTGTGGTAATTGCGATTTTTAACACACACACATCGTACACTTAGCTTACAAATATTGCAACAATGCAAGGTCATTGGCAACATATTCAAGGTCAGCGATAAAATTAGAAAGCTCATAACTGCCAAATAGAAAAGGGTAGCTAAAATTAAAGCTATACTTATGGATTGCACTCTAATAATCTAAAAATGCAAAAATATGTTTTAAAAACAATGATCCTTAATAAGAGTGAATGTGTTATATCATGGTTTCATTATACCATACACCACATTGTGGTAAGGGTATTATGTCTCCGTGCATTTGTTTGTAACATGGAGAAGGAAGCGAGATAGAACCATAGTTACTTTTGAGGATCTTCATAGAATCACTTTCTGAGTCGATTTATGCATGTCAGTCCGTAGATTTGTGAACAAAATACAGGGCGCATTTATTATTATTGAGATGAAATTTTCCAAACCATATCCGTTTGTCCCAAGGACGAACCATATTGTATTTGGTGATAATCGGTTCATATTAACCGTTTTTATACCCTCCACCATACTATGGAGTGTATATTAACTTTGTCATTCCGTTTGTAACTGCTCGAAATACTCATGTCAGACCCAACAAAGTATATATATTCTTGATCAGCGTAAAATTCTAAGTAGATTTAGAGATGTCCGTATGCCTGTCTGTCTGTCTATTCGTCTGTCTGTTGTAATCAAGCTATCTTTCGAACGAATAGAGATAGAAGGCTAAAATTTTGCACACATATTTATTTTTTCAGTAGGCAGGTTAAGTTCGTAAATGGGCCATGTAGGTCCACGTCTTCGTATAGCCCCCATATAACGGTACCTCCCCATATTCGGGATTTTGATGATGTTAGCGACATTATTCACCGGAATTGTTTCAAATTTGGTATTTGAAGTTCGAAAGGGATACTACAGCCTAATACAGAAAATTGTCTGTGCAGGTCCACGTCTTCATATAGCCCCCATATGACGATACCTCCCGATATTCGGTATTTTGATGATTTTAGCGACATTATTCACCGGAATTGTTTCAAATTTGATATTTGAAGTTCCAAAGATATATTACAGCCTAAGACAGAAAATTTACTGTGCAGATCCACTTCTTCGTATATCCCCTATATAACGTTACCTCCCCATATTCGGTATTTTTATGATTTTAGCGACATTATTCACCGGAATTGTTTCAAATTTGGTATTAGAAGTTCGTAATGGATACTACAGCCTATGACAGGTACCTCCCAATATTCGGTATTTTGATGATTTTATCGTCATTGTTCACCGGAATTGTTTCAAATTACGTTTTTAGAATTCGTAATGTGACAGAAAATTGTCTATGCAGGTCCAGGTCTTCGTTTAGGCCCCATATATCGGTACCTCCCTAAATTCGGTATTTTGACGAGTTTAAGTACAATACCCACCGAAATTGTTTGAGATGTCGTATTTGAACTTCGTAATGGATGCTACAGCCTATGACAGAAAATTGTCTATGCTGGTCCAGGTCTTCGTATAGCTCCAATATAACGGTACCTCCCTATAAACGGTATTTTAATGATTTTAGCTACATTATTCATCATTTATTTTAAGTTTCGAATTTGAATATGATATAGGCTTATGACAAACAATGCCCATGTAGACCCCAATATTTTTAAGAGTTTAACAGAATTTTTAACAGATTATATTTTTTGACAATTTCCAAATTCGTTCAAAATGGTGGAGGGTATTCAAAGTTCGGACCGGCCGAACTTACTGCTTTTTAACTTGTTTTTATTCGGGTTAATTGTGCACAAAATGGCCAATATCAGTCCAAATTAACTGAATTTTAGCATATCCCACCGAATGAAATCTAGAAGCAAGTACATAAATGTTGGCACGAATTATGGCCTTCGAACGGCCGTTGAGACTGTCACACTCTGCCCGAATGATGTTCTGCGGTATTTTGGCTCATTCCCGACGAAGCGCCTGCTTGATGTGATCGACAATTTGGTACTTTTTAGTGCCAACCTTGCTTTCCAAAATACTCCAGACACAATAGTCCAACGGATTGGTATCCGGAGATTTTGGTGTCATGTAGCGCTGGAAATGAAGCGAGGAACGTCATTTTGTAATCATTCTTGGGTGGCGCGTGCTGAGTGCGATGGTGCTGAGACCTGTTGGAATTTCCATCACCATGGCCGGAGCTTGAGTTCTTGTAGCCAATCGAAGATAGACATTTTCAGCTGACCTCTTTGGCAAGTAAACACGATCATTTTGTTTGTTTACAAACTGCTGGTCAACGAATGTTTTCTCGTCGGTCAAGCGAAGCAACTCCTTAGCTCTATTGAGCCTATTGGAATTTCAATGGCTTTACCCCGAGCTCATTTTTCAATATTTATTGAATGGAATATTGCGATATGTTCAGCTCACGAGCCATTCGGCCACTGCGACGCGGGTTTCGATCAGGTCGCTTCATTACTTTTCGAACCATTTCTGCCGATGTTGCTGGTTTCTTCCGTCCACTTCCTTGACGTTGGGCTACGCTAACAGTATCACGGTAACGAGCGATGGTACGGGACACCAAAGATTTGTTCACATTTAAATGCTGGAGTGCTCTAACAATAGCCAATTGTGGTTTTCAAGCCAAATATAACGAAATAACACTATCACGCTTGAATTCCATCACGAATATTTTTTTTCTGGGAAATTCTCACCAAAATGCTTTTGTACGATTGTAAACAATACATTGAGCTGTTACTGGAATAATTTTAACAGCTGTCGGACGAGTGGCTTAGAAATGACAGTAGTCTGAAGTTGGTTGCAGTTTTTTCATCTCACCCTGTATTTATTTCATCCGATTTGAGATTTTAAGTCTCTCACATGCGTAATATGCAATCTACAACAATGATATTTGATTCCGGACATCAGATACAGCTTCAAAATACATCTGCCCAATTAATTTTCTTCGAGAACATTTCAGATTTTTATATACCTCCGATTTTACGGTTTTTACTCACAATATATGTAATATCACCCAAATTGAAGAGATTTTTTCATACTCAATCCAATTTTACCATTTTGTAAAACTCGTTTCGGAATATCTAATCCTTATCGAAGTCATATCATGCGCTATAAAGCAATGTTATTTGGTTCACTGTTGGTATGATCTACTTCACAGAAATTCCCTATATAAACATTTTTCTTACGAGAGCTCTATTAAATTGCATAGTGGTGTAGGGTCGTCATATAGTCGGCCCTCTCCGACTTCTGACATTTCCTTACTGGGTTTCGTTTTACAATTGGTAACTGAAATTATATTTCTTTTTTTATTTTCTTTTTTGTACTAGCGTAAAATACCTAAACTAAAATAACTAACAGTTCAATAGGAATTTGAAAGTGACCTTGTTTCCTCCGTATTTAATTATTAGAAAAAAATTACCCACTTCAATTTCGGAATCATGTCTTTTGCAATTTACGCTGCCAAACTACAAACCTAAAAGAATATAAATTCACCAACGAATTTTCAAACCAGCATCAGTTGGCCATTGACCTTCAAACCCTTTACAGCTATTCCTACAGCAAATCACACAATGCGTTTCACAACAGCTGTATTTGCAATTTTGGCTATTTGCGTCGCCCTAGCCATTGCAGGACCTCTTCCGCACAAACAACATTCGAACGGATCTGGTTCTGGCAAAGGAGGTAGTGGCCAGGCTACCAGTTATGCAGTTGTAACCAAACACGAAGATGCAGCGGGCGGTCAGCATGGTGGACAGAAAGGATATGGCGGTGCTAAAAACGATCACTATGGAGGAGGTCATGATCATGGCCATGGAGATGGACATGGTGATGACTATAACTCCCATCCCAGATACGACTTTGCATACGGTGTAGAGGATTCAAAAACTGGCGATGTGAAGGAGCATCAGGAATCCAGAGATGGCGATAATGTTAAGGGTATGTTTAAGTAATATTTGCTTTTGTTATTGTCTTAAATATTGTATGGAGTATTCCCCCATTGGCTTCAATTCATGTTACTCTCTATTAAAGAGAGCAATATTTTCTAATCGCTACCAATATCATGATTTATATATATTTTTCAAAATTTTAGGAAGCTATTCTCTCAAGGAATCAGATGGCACAACTCGCCTTGTCACCTACACCTCTGATAAGAAGAGCGGCTTTGAGGCCACAGTTCATAAGATTGGTGGAGCAAATGCTGCTGGCAAGGGACATTACCATTGAATAATGACGAATGGCAATAATGGTTGGGAGCTACAAAATTCAAAGACACGTTGAGAAAAAAGTAACAGGGCATGAAACCAAAAAAAAAAAAAAAAAATGAATAAAAAATATATTTACAAGAATTTGAATAAAAGCATACCTTAAATAACTAATAGATTCGCCTTATAATTTAAAGAGCTTTAGGACAGAGCTACAGAATAACTTAAAAAAGTAAAAAAGCAGTAAGTTCGGCCGGGCCAAACTTTGAATACCCTCCATCATTTGGAACGAATTAGAAAATATTAAAAAAAAAAAATAATAATAAAATCCATTAAAAATTCTTTTAAAACCTTTAAAATATCTAATATAAGAAAGTGCCGATATGTGGGGATATACGATATTGTGGACCTATAAAGACAAATCTATGTCTGTGTGTAAAGTACTCACAAGGAACTCCTTGTGTGGATTTTCAAAATACCGAATATCGCGGGTAGCTATACGTTATCGTTAACCTATATAGAGAATTCTTTGTCGGGGGGTAAAGTGCTCACAAAGAACCCCTTGTGTACAAAGAACCCCTTGTGACCATTCCGTTGAAAAATATGGCTAAAATCATCAAAATACCATATATCGGGGGTAACGTTATATGGGCGCTATACGATATGGTGGACCTATATAGATAATTCTCTGCCGAGGTATAAAGTACCCACAAGGAACTCCTTGTGTGGATTTTCAGACAATTCCGATGAAAAATGTGGGTAAAATCATCAAAATACCGAATATCGGGGGTACCGTTATATGGGGGATATACGATATCGTGGACCTGTATAGACAATTCTCTGTCAGGGGGCAAAGTACTCACAAGAAACTACTTGTGTGGATTTTCAGACAATTCCATTGAAAAATGTGGCTAACATCATCAAAATACCGAATATTGGGGGGTACAGTTATATGGGGGATATACGATATCGTGGACCTATATAGACAATTCTTTTTGAAGGGGTAAAATGTCCACATGGGACTCTTTTGGTGGAATTTCAGACAATTCCATTGAAAAATGTGGCTAAAATCATCAAAATACCGAATACCGTGGGGGTACCGTTATATGGGAGCTATACGATATCGTGGACCGATATAGCCCATCTTCGAACTTGACCTGCCTGCAGACAATAGAGAGATCTGTGCGAAATTTTAGCTTCCTATCTTAATTCGTTTAGACTGTAGCGTGATTACAACAGACGGACAGACGGACGGACAGGACATCTTAGAAGTTTACGCTGATCAAGAATATATATACTTTGTTGGGTCTAAAATGATTATTTCGATGAGTTACAAACGGAATGACGAAATTAATTTACCCTCGAACTTTTTTTGGTGGAGGATATAAAAATATCAGTCGTTTTTTGCCGACAGATGTATACCTTCAGCCAATGTTCGACTATTTATACCCTACAACACTATGTGTTGGGGGTATTGTAAGTTTGATTGAGCCAAAAATTATGTAACACCTCGAAATATTGGTTTTCCACATAGGAAAGTATATATGGATCTTCCTATCTCGCCGAGATGAGACGATCTAGGTATGTATGTCCGTCCGTACGTCTGTCCGTCTGAGCATGTTAATTTGTAATCAAGCTACATGTCGCAATTATGAACCGATCTTCACGAAATTAAAAATGAAGGTGGGGTTATGGTCAGAATAGAACCCTGTTGTTTTTGGAGATGATCGTACGATATTTAGGGGTTGAAATGGACCAAAATCAGAAAAAATTCCTGATTTTGCAGTTGCTCTATAGGCCACAATTATGAACCAATCGACGCGAAAATTTACGTGGAGTTAGACTTTAGGAGTGGGCAGAAACCTACCAATTTGGGCGGCCATCGGACAATAACTAGCGGTTAAAATAGACCCAAACTTTTATGTAAGAAAATAGGAAAATATTCACTAAACCGCGAATATTTTCAATCTCAGCCAAATTACAAATACATTGAAAGATCAGAAATCGGATATATAGCAAAATAAAAGAATTTATCTAATTTATTCTGCTTATAAATCAAGAACCGCTGGGCCGATTTTCACAATTTCCATCAATTTGGAATGGTCTCTTGCCAGAAAACGATAAAATCTAAGAAAATCGCAGAAGAAGTGAAAGTGATAAAGAAGTGAATATTTTTTTGTCGATTTTTTTCAATTTTTGTCATATTTTTATCACATGCGATTTTTTTCAATTTGACTTACAATTTGGAATTGTAAATTTTCTAAATTTTTACACACCCCTCCCCCCGCCCCCTACACTGCGTTCTAAGGGTATTATATGCATGTCGAAATTTTCGTCCGATCCTCACGAAATTTTTCATGTGGGTAGGGTTAGCTTGGACTAAAAAAACTTAGTTTTTCCTAATTGTGAAGTCGCTCGACACGGAATTTTCCATCAGAAGAGATGTAAGGACAGGGAAGAAGTCTAGCATTTTGGATGACCATTGGATTATATTTAGCTTTAAAATGGACGACAACTTTCGTGTGAATTTTTTTGTATACTTCACAACAATACGGAGTGCGTAAATATTGGCCAAATTGGGCGGGGCTATTTGACATTATTTCAAAACGAAATTTTCCAAAATGGATTTGGATATAAGGGGACTTCGAACATATTGTAGTGTTGTAGGGTATCACATGGTCGGCCCCGCGCGACTATAGCCTTTGCTTACTCGTTAAATATATTTTAACTTCTACAGGGTTGCCATATTCGACGGACCTTTGGGCACATTCCAATCGACGAGGCTTGTCCGCGGGCAACATTCTTTGCGTCAATTGAATTTTGTACGGGAACAAATGCAAATCAATGCAAATAATCCGTTGTAAAGTGGACCGAAAAAAAACTTTCTAGTTTTTCAAACTGTTTTTTTAAGAATTTCATGTTTTTCAAGGATTTTCTTCAAAGACATCCTGATGAATAGTTAAAGATTTTTTTTTAAATCCAGGAAGGGCAAAAATTATAGAAGATTTAAATTTTTTTAAGAACATCCCGTACGGGTATAAAAAGTAGATATTTAAATAATTCCAGTAGTAGTTTTAGATAAAAATTATTCGATCTTTCTAAAAAATATTTTTTTAATACTTCGAGACAAAAATTCTGGACTTTTCAATTTTTAAAGATTTCATCCTCTCGTGAATTTAAAAAAATACTTCTTCAAGGACTTTATCGCAACAGGAAATATTTTATTTTTTCAAATAGTTTTCTTTTTCAAGGGTTTCCTTCCAGTGTTCTCCTTTTTATACCCTACACCACAAGGTGGTCAGGGTATTATGTCTTTGTGCATTTGTTTGTAACAGGCAAAAGGAAACGAGATAGACCCATAATTCCTTTTGATGATCTGCATAGAATCACATTGTGATTCGATTTATTCATGTCCGTCCGTATGTCCATGTATTTTTGTAAAAAAAAGTACAGCTCACATTTATTGTCATATCCAGATGAAATTTTGCACAAATCATTTGTTTGGCCCAAGGACGAACCCTATTGAAATTGGAGATAATCGGTCAAAATTTAGATATAGCTCCCATATATATCTTCGTCCGATTTGCCTTTTATTGTGCACCAATCGTGTAATAGCAGTCCGAATAGTATGGAATTTTGAACGTACGATCAGATTGGACCTGAAAATAAGTATGCCAAATTTGATCAGATATAGCTATAGCTCCCATATATATTGTTCATCCGATTTGTTATGTTTGTCCTCCGCAGCCGTTATATGCACTCTGTAAGAACAATATTTGGGGAAATATACCAAATATAGCTCAGAAATACATTTGCTAAATTTTATCGAGATCGGTTCACATTTGGATATAGCTCCCATATATAACTTCGTCCGATTTATATTTTATTGTGCACAAAACGTCTAATATTTGCCCAAATTGGATGAAATTTAGCACTTACGACTGAATTGAGTCTAGAAAGTAGTATGTCAAATTTGGTGAAGATCGGCTCAGATAGAGCTATTGCTCCCATATATACTGTTCATCCGATTTGTCATATTTGTTACCCACAGCCGTAATTTGCACTTCGTAACAACGATATTGTGGGAAATGTATCAAATACAGCTGAGAAATATCTTTGCCAAATTTGGATATAGCTCCCATATATATCTTTATCCGATTTCAAATTAATTGTGCACCAAATGGACAATACAAGTCCGAATTTAAAAGATACAAATGCTTCGGCATATTTAGTCCTTTGAACTTTAAATTATAATTATAATCATAGCTTGTATGATTGAATTCTCCCATAAAAAAAATTTAATGTGCATACCACAGCTCTACTAAATTAGCAAAGTGGTGTAGGGTATCATAAAGCCGGCCCCGCCCTTCTTTAAGACTGCCTTTACTGGTTTAATATAATTTTTTTGTTAAAAATATTTTTTTTCAAAATCTTGTGTATTTTTTAACAATATTTTTCCAAGAAATTCCTTCCTTCTGGATTTTTAATCTCTTTTCAATTTTTTGCAAATTTGGGACTCTTAGGTACATTACGAGAGCCTTTTAAATTAAAGCCTTTTAAATATATTAAATATATCGTGAATTTGTATTTTTAATGATTTTATGCCTAAAACTTGCAATCTTCCTGCCAATATATTCTGGATTTTATGTAACTTTTCAAGGACTTCATGGCTAAAACTCAAGTATTTTGTTAGAATATCTAAAGCATTTTGCCAGAAAATCTAACATTATTTAAGTTGTTGTTGGACAAAAAATTCTTCGACTTTCAATTAAAACTATTTTCATAACAACTTTCAGTCCAAAATTTTAGTATTTTGTAATGGTATGCACCACTTTCGTAATTTTTAAAAACAATACAACCCTACCTTTAAGTTGAAATTATACAATGTGTGTTTGAAATTGATGCATTCTTTAATTGATTATATTCCTACAAAGGTTCCTTGAAAGAGGGGAATCGAATCGCCATTCATTATGACATAGTAAAATGGATGGTCAGCTCGAAAATCGAAGGGTTTGGTTTTAGTCATAACTGGAATTCCTAAAATTAAAAAAAGAATAAATTTTATAATATTTCATTCATTTATGTGGAGACTCATTTCAAACCTGCGGCACCAGAGGCGGCGGTACCCACTTCATTGACATCAATGAAGGCCTTGTGGATGACACTTGTGACCTGAAGAGGTTCACTAGCTGTTAGCATTTTACTCAAATTTGCATCAGTGAACATGTGCTGCATGCCCAGCTGAAATGGGAGAGAGAAGGAATGAAATATTTAATAAAAATAAAATTGAATAGGAGGTCGGTCCTCTGAAATGACTATTTTTCTGATAGTATAATTTTTAACCAGTTGGACATCCAAAATTGTTTCGCAGTGCATTTCTGTGCACGTCCCTAAATGAGATTAAGTCACTTACCATTTTCAATGGTTCATTTAAGAGAATCTCAAATTCGACCTTGAATTTGGGCAAATAAAGGAAAGTCCCAAAATATCCTAGCCTTTCTGCTGTCAGGGATGACAAGCTAAATGTTTTTAATTTCTCCATCAAATCTTTCAAACCATTGCGAGAGTTTGGCAAAATAACCATCATGTATAGATCGGAATCTTTATATGGCAGGCGAATAACTTTTGCATCCAATTCGCGAATAATATCACATGACATCATTCCTGCTCCGAACATCATTTCCACCTTCATGGTTTTATTATTAGCCATATAGAAATCGGCTTCGCGGGTGTATTTCGTATCGAAAGGTTTTTGCCAATTACCCTTGAAATAGATGGCACTAACCAGCATTAAGCGGGTATCATTTGTGACTGTGTCAGGGCTGATAATGTGGTGTATGGCATTATCGGTTTTCGATTCAATCCAAGAATTCACCAATTCGGCAGTTTTTTCACTTTCAGTAAAATCCACATTTTCCACAGAGGAAAAGAATTTTTCACCCAGTATTTCATGGTAAGTATTTTTCAGACTATATTTATTGGCTACATAAATTTTGTTGGCAATTTTCAAGATTTTTCCATCCTTAAATTTTGTTAAGAGTTCCTGATAATTCGCGCCAATATTTTCCTCTGATTGACTCGTAAAAGTGAGACCATAATCCATTTCGGCCGCAGTGGCACCATCCGCCCCCATACGTACCATGGCCAAACATGTCTGAATGGAAAATGGTGAAAATATAATATTGTCCTCGCTGTTAGTTTGAAATATTTCCGTGAAAATATTTCTACTAAAGTTCGACAAGCTGGAATGAAAGTTCTGGGAATCGAAAGGGGTTGTTGTTGTCCCCTGTAGACATGCCAGCAAAATGCAAAAGAATATTCCTAAAAATCCTGAAATTAAAAAGTAGTAAACAGAGGCTTTATATTGACGGGGCCTACCAGTTGATATCCTACAACACCACAATTTGCGGTAAAGTTTCTGCAGATTTAAAACCCGATTGACTAGAATGAAGAATAATCCCCTGAGAAACATTATCATATCTACTACCTAATAAAAGCAAACGTTGAACCGAAAATCTCCTCTTTTCGAATAATCGTCATCATAGATCTGAAACAAGTTTATTCCAAACACAAACGATCTCAAAAGAACAGAAATTTTACATTCATGTATTTTGTAATTTCGGTACTTTTTCACTCAAAATTTTGGTCTACTCACCACCGAAATATTATCCAATGACCATCCAAAATGTCCTAGGCCTCAGCGTATCATAAACTCTGACCTAATAAACATTTCCCATGTATATTGGTACTTAGTTGAGGACTGTAGGGCGAATGGAAAATCTAAACAAGTTTTTGGTTTTTGGTTTTTGGTCCATTTGAAACCCAAAGTATTTTGCGAAAATCTTCCAACACAATAGATTTCTATTCTGACCTTAACCCCACTTCCATTCCAAATTTCGTGAGTATCGCGTCATAATTGCGACCTGTAGCCTGATTACAATTTTACATGTACAGACGGTCAGACGGGCGAACACACAACCAGAACGACTCAGCTTATCGAGATAGAAAGATCCAAATATATTTTCCTATCTCTGGGAAAAATGTTTCGCGTTGGTCCAATCAAACTTATAATTGTAGGGTATAATAAGTTGGTATTGAAATTTTGGGTGATTCATTATCATTTCTGGCACCAAAATGGCTGAATAAATTATCTGATACAATTTTGTTGTTTTTCTTTTTTTGCTCTTAATTAGCAAAATTGGTAAATCTATGAGAATTCTGAAGTATTGTTAGATTTCAACAACAAATTTTTTCTTTCCTTCTTTATTGTTCTAAAATTTTGTCACAAAATATCGTCTTACCTATACGTTCCATTATTCGACACTGGACAATTGTTATTCGAAAATTTGAAAAATGCTCCGAATTCTTTGATTTATATCATTGGATTCATAGTTCGGTTATCAGTTCAGATGTTTGACATAAAATTCGTTTACGATTCTTAAGTGATTGGCTATGTGTTATTTGTTTTTTTATTTAGGGGGCATTTAGGTCATGCGGCTATCGGTATTTTTTGAAAAATCCCACTTTAAATTCGTTCACGTTTTGAAAAACATTGCTCTCTGTAATTGAGAGTATTATGAAGTTAAGACAATGGGGGAATACTCCAGCCTTAAGCAATCGGAAAGAAAGATTTTCAAAGTTAATCTACTAGCATCATCTGTCGCCCATAAATGCAATCTAACCTTATGCAAATGCTAGGTAATGAAAATTATGAATATTATTTAAAATAATAATAATAAAATGTAAACTAATGTAAATTTAAATTAATGAAATAATTAATAAAAATGTAAATTAATAATTATTAATTGATTAGCAACTTATATGGCATTTTTAGACTATGTCATTGAAATATGTGGCTTAAATCATCAAAATACTGAATATCGGAAGGTGCCGTTATATGGGGAATATACGATATTGTGGGTCTATATAGAAAATTCTCTTTCAGTGGGTAAAATGCTCACAGAAAAATCCTTGTGTAGAATTTCAGAAAATTCCATTGAAAAATGTGGCTAAAATCATCAAAATACCGAATATCGGGGGGTACCGTTACAAGGGGGCTATACGATATTGTGGACCTATATAGACAATTATTTTTCAGGGCTTACAAAAAACTCCTTGCATAGAATTTCAGATAATTTCATTGAAAATGTGGCTAATATCATCAAAATACCGAATATGGGGTACTGTTATATAGGGGCTATAAGATACCGTGGACCGATATAACCCATCTTCGAACTTGACCTGCCTGCAGACAAAAGTCAGATCTGTGCAAAATTGTATCTTTCTATCTTAATTCGTTTTGACTGTATCGTGATTACAACAAACGGAGAGACGGAAGGACCGAGTGGGCAAAATCGTCTTAGAATTTTGCGCTCATCAAGAATATATTCTCACTTTTGTGAAGATGGCACCTAAAGGATTAGACCGATACATTATATGTGTGAAAATATAAGGATGTATGAAATTTAAAAAGAATCGGATGTTTATTTCACATTTTATAAGAGTTATAATTATTTAAAATAATGACCCTTTTAGAGGAGGTTCTTTATCATATGACAATATCAGATTGTCATTGCAAGGACAAATATAATAGGATTTGCAAAGTTTACATAAAATCGAATTATTCTTTCTCTTTTCTTGAGGTAAAGTATTTCCTTTAAAAATGTTGACCTTTTGTGGGGGATGTAACAGAAGTGGTGGACCAAACGGGTACTTTCTTCGAGAGTTATCGTGAGACAGATAGACAGATAGGACGAACACCCGTACAATTGTCCTGAAACGAATTTTGTCCAAAGAGACGTAGGGTCTAAAGCCGTTATTTCGATTTTACTTCTTTCAAAGGGTTTTACTGTATGTTTTTAATCGATTTAGCTAAAAGATAACATTTTAGTTTGGGATAGGACAACAACCTGAAGCGCCAAAAATTGTCAATTTTGAAAATGTTTTTGATACAGCTCCCATAGAAACTTATCCCCGATTTGAGGCATTTTCAAGATTTTGACCAAAAATGTTCATCCGATTTTTATGCAATTTGGCATTTTGGATTCTGAGTACAATGTATACCATTTAGCAAATAATCATTACAAAAAATGTCACACAGGTTGGGGCTTAAAAGTCAAGTACGAAAGGGTTAATTATATTTATAAAACTCTAATACGATGTGGAGACTGATAAGAAGCTTAATTTTTTAAATTAGTGTTTGTAACCATATAACTTTATCATTCCGTTTGTAACTCCTCGAAATATTCATAAGAGACCCTACAAAGTATATATATATATATATATATATATATATATATATATATAAATATATATATATATATATATATATATATATATATATATATATATATATTTATATATATATATATATATATATATATATATATATATATATATATATATATATATATATATATATATATATATACTTTGTAGGGTCTCTTATGAATATTTCGAGGAGTTACAAACGGAATGATAAAGTTATATGGTTACAAACACTGATTTAAAAAATTAAGCTTCTTATCAGTCAGTTGTAATCCACCTAACTTTCGATCGAATTGAGATAGAAGGCTTAAATTTTGCATACATGCCTAGTTTACAAGTAGGCAAGTTAAGTTCGTAAATGAGCAATGTCGGTCCACGTTTTCGTATAGCCCCCATATAAGGGTACCTCCCGATATTTAGTATTTTGATGATTTCAGCAACATTATTCACCGGAATCATTTAAAATTTCGAATCTGTAGTTCATAGTGGGTACTACAGCCTACGACAAAAGTTTTTGTATGCAAGTCCACGTCTTCGCATAACCCCCATATAAAGGTACCTCCCGATATTCGGTATTTTCATGATTTTAGCGGCGTTATTTACCGGAATTATTTCAAATATATATATATATATTTATATATATATATATATATATATATATATATATATATATATATATATATATATATATATATATATATATATATATATATATATATATATATATATATATATATATATATATATATATATATATATATATATATATATATACTTTGTAGGGTCTCTTATGAATATTTCGAGGAGTTACAAACGGAATGATAAAGTTATATGGTTACAAACACTGATTTAAAAAATTAAGCTTCTTATCAGTCAGTTGTAATCCACCTAACTTTCGATCGAATTGAGATAGAAGGCTTAAATTTTGCATACATGCCTAGTTTACAAGTAGGCAAGTTAAGTTCGTAAATGAGCAATGTCGGTCCACGTTTTCGTATAGCCCCCATATAAGGGTACCTCCCGATATTTAGTATTTTGATGATTTCAGCAACATTATTCACCGGAATCATTTAAAATTTCGAATCTGTACTTCATAGTGGGTACTACAGCCTACGACAAAAGTTTTTGTATGCAAGTCCACGTCTTCGCATAACCCCCATATAAAGGTACCTCCCGATATTCGGTATTTTCATGATTTTAGCGGCGTTATTTACCGGAATTATTTCAAATTTCGTATTTGAAGTTCGTAATGGGTACTACAGCCTATGACAAAAAAAAATCGTATGCAGGTCCACGTCTTGGTATAGTATATATAAAGGTTTTTATTAAAGTGGTCGTTTTCGATTTTTTTTTTTTTTTTTTGGAAAATTTTCAAATGGTGGAGGGTACTAAGGGATCGGCCCGGCCCGGAACATAGCTGCTTCTATACTTTTTTGTGTGAAAATATTTATTTTCACTTTGTTACATTTTAGTCATTCATATGAAACCACGTTTTCTACACATATAGATGTTGTTTATTAATATTTTGGGGGAAATTTACAATTATTTATGTCTTCTTCATAGATTGATGATAGCACATTAGGGCTGTTATCATCTAGTAACCATGATGGCCATAATGGTCAGCTCCACCATCTTCATTGTTGGCTTGACCAATCTTATGGACGGTCGCCTCGAAGCCAGTCTTCTTATCAGAGGTGTATTGTACAATACGAGTTGTTCCATCGGATTCTTTGAGGGAATAGCTTCCTGCAAATAAAAATCCGACATTAAATAAATCGTACACCCAAATAAATTTTCAAATGCTACCTTGTACTTTATCGCCATCTCGGGATTCCCATTGTTCCTTAATGTCACCGGTTTTCGAGTCCTCAACACCATAGGCGAATTCATATTGAGGATGGCTGTAATAGTCTGATGAGTGGTCGCCATCACCATGTTCAGAATGGCCGTCAGTTTTACCGTAATCTTCGACTCCATGGCTATATTCACCATCATATTTAGATCCGTATCCTCCGTTATCATTGTGTTGTGTTACAACAGCATAACTGCTGGCCTGTCCATGACCAGCACCGCACTGCTTATGAGGAACAGGTCCAGCCATAGTTAGGCATATGCAAATAGCCAAGGTGGCAAATACAGTCATTTGAGGAGCCATTGTGTAGATTTTTAAAAGGTTTGTAAAGTAAAGTTAAAAGTTCAATGCGCAACTGATACAGAATTGAGATTTAGCTGCTCATTTTATACTCTAGCTAAATATTAACATTAGCAGTTACGACATTTTAATTTGCATTCCTCATTGGGGTTTAAATATATTGCAACCATGGTCATGACAAACATATTTGTTGTCAGTATTCCAGGGGCTGATGGAAAAATGGATATGACTAGATCAACTCCAAATGAGGCTTATTTTGACAGTGTTAAATGAGGTTAAAACTGATAAAGATAAATACTTAAAAAAAGGTTTCGAGTGTTAAAATGATGTTTTTATACCCTACAACACTATGTGTTGGGGGTATTATAAGTTTGATTGGGCCAAAAATTATGTAACACCTCGAAATATTGGTTTCCCACATAGGAAATTATATATGGATCTTCCTAGCTCGCCGAGCGGAGTCGATCTAGGTATGTATGTCCGTCCGTCTGTCCATGTTAATTTTTTAATCAAGCTACAGGTCGCAATTATGGCCCGATCCTCACGAAATTGAAAATGGAAGTGGGGTTATGGTCAGAATAGAACCCTATTGTTTTTGGAGATGATGGAGCAAAAACAGAAAAATGTCATGATTTTGTAGTTGCTCTATAAGCCACAATTATGAACCAATCGACGCGGAAATTTACATGGTGTTAGAGTGTAGGACTGAGCAGTAGCCTACCAAATTGGGAGGCCATCGAATTTCCCAGTCATAATCGCAGCATATCACAAATACATTAAAAGGTCACTTCTGACCATTAAAGTGATGCTTTTAGCCAACACATATAATATATATATAACACATATAATATATATATATATATATATATATATATATATATATATATATATATATATATATATATATATATATATATATATATATATATATATATATATATATATATATATATATATATATATATATATATATATATATATATTTATATATATATATTATCGTCCGATCATCCCGAAATTTTGTATGGCGGTAGAGTTAGGGTCTGTATTAAAGGGGTTCAAATGGAAAAAAAATACAAAAATACAAATTTTCTAATTCTGTCGTCGCTCTATAGACCACAGTTGAAAACTAATCGACACGGAATTTTGCATCAGAAGCGAGTTAAATACAGGGGCATTATTTTTAATATTGTTTCAAATACGAAATCTTCCAAAATGGACTTGGACATAAGGGGACTTCGAACCAATTGTAGTGTTGTAGGGTATCACATGGTCGGCTCCGCACGTCTATAGCCTTTGCTTACTAGTTTTTTCTATTGTTAGCGTTTTCTTTTTCCCAGTCATGGCCTTTTTTATTCGAATACAAACCGTGACCGTGACCGTGACCGTGGTGGCAAAATATTTAACCCTCTACAAAAATGTAATTAGAAAGTCGTAACTGCCCCACGTTAAATACTTATTTCGTTAAAGTATAAAATAAGCAACTAAATCTTAATTCGGTATCAGTTACCCATTGAACATTCAAGTTTACTTAACATACCATTTAAAAATCTACATCATGGCTTCTTCAATGACCCTACTTGCCATATTGGCCACTTGCATTGCCCTAACTTTGGCTGGGCCTCTTCCTCATAAGGAGGCCGGTATTGGTCATGGACAGGCCAGTAGTTATGCTGTTGTAACCCAACACAATGATAACGGAGATTACGAGACAAAATATGATGGAGGATATGGCCATGGAGTCGAAGATTACGGTAAATCTGACCGCCATTCTGGACATGGTGATGGTGACCACTCGGCAGACTACTACAGCCGTCCTCAATATGAATTCGCCTATGGTGTTGAGGACTCGAAAACCGGTGACATTAAGGAACAATGGGAATCCCGAGATGGCGATAAAGTACAAGGTAGCATTTGAAAATTTATTTGGTTGTACGATTTATTTAATGTCGGATTTTTATTTGCAGGAAGCTATTCCCTCAAAGAATCCGATGGAACAACTCGTATTGTACAATACACCTCTGATAAGAAGACTGGCTTCGAGGCTACCGTCCATAAAATTGGTCAAGCCAATAGTGATAATAGCGGAGCCGACCATTATGGTCATCATGGTTACTAGAAAGTACAATCTTTAGAATTTTATACAATTTCTATAACCGATGAATAGCGAAAAAAATCGATAGTTTTTAAATTTGTTCAAAAAAATAATAAACGATATTTATATATTTTTATGAAACTTGGATATATTTATTCGATTAGAATTAAACAATGTGAAATGTCTGCATAAAATACTAATTTTATAAAAGGATGTTGTAAAATTTCTAGCAAATGGGATATCCAAAAAGAAACGAGATATGATTGAAAACAATACTTTACAATTGAAAATATGCACTTCTTCAACAATTACCGTATATTCTTTCGAAGCTCTCCTTTTACAGTCGTTGCTCCTGCAATGTAGCACTCGAATCCTGGTTCCTGATCATATCAACTAAATTGTTGTTGAAATGTTATGCTGTAGTTTATCGCCCAAGTGAGCAGATTAAGATTAAAGAAATATTATTGCAACTCTAAAAAAGTTAAATAATTTTCGACAAGTTTGCATCGAAGAGAGATTTAAAAATATTGGATCAATCCTCGTAGAGTCTTCGTTCAATTATTAGTGAACACGGTTGAATATACATATCACGACGCATAAATGTTGTTCCGCAGTCAATTTTTATACTCTCCACCTTGGAAAAAAGGGTATATTAACATTGCCATTCCGTTTGTGACATCCTTAAATATTCGTCGTAGACCCCATCAAGTATACAGGGTTGCCCATATTCGACGGACCCATGTTTTTTTTTTTTTTAAATCAAAGAAAAAAATAAAAATTTGGCGGTTGGCAATGTTAATCATTTAATTTGTTCCAAGTAGATTTGTTTACATCAATTTTTGAAAATGACATCTCTCAAATGGCCGCCTCTGGCGTTGATGACGTATTGTGCCCTTTTTGCTGCATTTTCCATCGTTTTTGCCAACATTTCGGCCGAAATAGCGGCTATTTCTTCACGAATGTTGTCCTTGAGCTCTTCTACGGTCCTTGGCTTGTTAACGTAAACCTTTGACTTCAAATATCCCCACAAGAAAAAGTAAGGCGGCGTCAAATCGGGCGAACGCGGTGGCCAGTCCAAATCACCACATTCGACATCAAACGGCCCGGAAACAAATTCTTCAGAAAATCGATTGTTATACGACTTGTGTGCGGTGGAGCGCCGTCTTGTTGGAACCAGAACTGCCTCATACGCTTTCGACGAATAATTGGCATCACATGTCGCGATAACGCTCCTGATTGATGGTAACAGCATGGCCATTTTCATTTTGGAAGAAAACCGGCCCAATGACCGTTTTCGCACTAACGCCGCACCAAACTGTGACTTTTTCGTCATGAAGAGGCACTTCTTGAATCTCCTGAGGATTTTCAGTGGCGTAAAAACGGCAATTTTGCTCACCATTCAATGTGAAATGGGCTTTATCGGACATGATAATTTTGTTCCAAAATTGCTCGTCATCTTCGGCCATTTCGATGACTCTTTGGGCCCATTCCAATCGACGAGGCTTGTCCGCAGGCAACATTCTTTGCGTCAATTGAATTTTGTACGGGAACAAATGCAAATCAATGCGAATAATCCGTTGTAAAGTGGACCGAGCCATGCCCAACTGCTGAGAACGGCGTTTTTGGGATGTTCTTGGGGACCTCTCAACACTGGCTTGTACGGCAGCGATATTTTCGGCCGATCGCCTTGATCGACTTTTATATGGCCTCTTCGGATTAGAAAGAGCCTTACCAGTCGAAAATTTTTCGTATAAACGCTTAATGGTGTTCTTAGAAGGCGCACTTCTCACATTTTTCAATGTTTTAACAGCTCGTTGAGTTTTCACAATTGTCTTCTTCTGTTGAATGTAAATTTCAACTATTTCAGAGCGCTCGCGTGGCGTGTATTGGTTCATGGTAAAATTCTGCTTGAACTGACGCTTCAAACGCGGTATGTCATTAAGCGATGTGACATATCTGTCAAAAGTTATGGCGTTTGCAGATGGGTCCGTCGAATATGTATATATTCATAATCAGCATAAAATTCTAAGTCGCTTTAACGATCTCCGTCTGTCTGTCCGTCTGTCTGTTGAAATCACGATACAGCTCACATTATTTGACGTAGAGCGCCGAAATTTAGCAGAACAATTTGTATTGTGCCTAGGATGGTTGTTATTGAAAATGAGATATATCGGTCCACGTTCTGGTATAGTCCCCATATAATGGTACCTCCCGATATTCGGTATTTTGATGATTTATGCCACGTTTTTTCACGGATTTGTCTGAAAATTGGTATTTGTAGATCATAACGGGACCCTGTGCGTGTGGCAAAGCATTGCATGTATAGGTCTACGTTTTGGTATAGCCCCCATATAAAGGTACCTCCCGATATTCGGTATTTTAATGGTTTTTGCCACATTTCTTCTAATGTTTCCTTTACCCTAAGGTGGAGGGTGTTAAAAGTTTGGCCCGGCCTAACATAATGTTTTTTTACTTGCTGATGTTTCAATAATAAAGTTTGATCGTCTTTTGTATTCATACTAGCTGAACCCGTTGTGCTTCCTTATCCCTTTCTTGTTTTGAATATTTTGTGGTTTTAAATAAACAAAAACTTAAACAAATTAATGTATATAATAAACGTATTTATTGCAATGCTTGCTTTTTAATTTTCATTTGAAGATTTGAAGATTTCAGTATATATTTGAATATAGCTCCCATATATATCTTCGTCCGATTTGCCTTTTATTGTACACCAAACGTGTAATATCAGCCCAAATAGTATGGAATTTTGCACACACTACCAAATTAACCCTGGAAATAAGTATGCTAAGTTTTATCGAAATCGGTTCTGATATAGCTATAGCTCCATATATGCTGTTCATCCGATTTGTTATTTATGTCCTCCGCAACCGTAATATACACTCTGTAACAATGATATTTGGGGAAATCCGGTCGTCCGGTTTGCCTTTTTTGTGCACCAAGCGAGTAATATTAGCCCATATGGGATGAAATTTGGACCTTTTGTACCCAAAATATTCCTCGTATTTCTTCTGCAGAAGTTTCCAGAAGCGTGGTAGAAGGGGAACTTGTCTCCCCCATTTCGAGTTACTTTGCGACTTAAACTTTCAAAGCGAAGTTACATGTGTCATTTTCTTGACCCCAGCCATATGGGTATCGAGATAACGAGTGATGGTGCGAGACACACAAGATTTATTCACATTTAAATGCTGGAGTGCTCTATCGATAGCCAGCCAAATATAAAGAAATCACAATATCACGCTTGAATTCCATCTCGAATATCTTTTTTTCTGGAAAATACTCAACAAAATGCGTTTGTAAGCCTGTAATGCTGTCACTGGAATAATTTTAACAGCTGTTCGACGAGTGGTTTGGAAATGAAAGCACTTTGAAGTTGGTTGCAGTTTTTCTATCTCACCGATGAGAAAACATTCGTTGTCCTGCAGTTTGTAGACAAACAAAATTATTGTGTTTACTTGCCAAAGAGGTCAGCTGAATATGTGCACCATCGATTGGCCACCGGAACTTAAGCGCCGGTCATGGTGATGGTGTGGGCCGCCATAACAGCCGATGGTAGCTCTCCGCTCCGCTCGACCGTTGCATCAGAATAAATGCCGAATATTATCGCGAAAATATTCTGCAGGAAGTATTAAAGCCTTGGGCACGCAAACATTTTGGCCGGAGACCTTGGACATCCCAACAGAACTCAGCACCATCGCACTCAGCACGCGTCAACTAAGAATGGTTACAAAATGGGGTTCCTCTCTTCATTTCTAGCGCACAATGGCCAACAAAATCTCCAGATACCAATCCGTTGTACTATTGTGTCTGGTGTATTTTGGGAAGCAAGGTGGACACTAAAAAAAAAAATAAAAGTGTCGATCACCTCAAGCAAGCGCTTCGCCAAGAATGGACCAAAATATAGCAGAGCAACATTAGGGCAGCGTGTGACGGTTTCATTGGCCGTTTGAAGGTCATAATTCGTGCCAAAGGTGACCAATTCGAAAAAATCTAAGCTTATTCTAAAATTTGATGTTATTTCCGAAATTTTTGCTTTCAATCAATAAAAAAAATTAACTTACCCTGTATAGCTCCCCTATTTTTTCAACTTTATTTTACCCCATTTGCGTACTACCTTTTTGGTATATAGAGTAAAAATAAGCTCAAATGATAATGTCTCCATTAGAATAAAGTCTGTCCCAGTTGGACAAAATCGATTCATCCCTCTTTTATTTGGTTTATAATATAGCCACGCTATTTCCTCTGCTTGTTTTTCGTTATTTTTATACCCTACAACACTATGTGTTGGGGGTATTATAAGTTTGATTGGGCTAAAACTTATGTAACGCCTCGAAATATTGGTTTCCCACATAGGAAAGTATATATGGATCTTCCTAGCTCGCCGAGCTGAGTCGATCTAGCTATGTATGTCCGTCCGTCCGTCTGTCCATGTTAATTTGTAATCAAGCTACAGGTCGCAATTATGGCCCGATCCTTACGAAATTTTGCACGAAGGTGGGGTTAGGGTCAGAATAGAAGCCTATTTCTTTTGAAGATGATCGCCAAATGTTTAGGGGTTGAAATGGACCAAATACTGAAAAAATGTCGGATTTTGCAGTAGATATACAGGTCGCAATTATAGACCAATAGACGTGGAATTTCGCTTGTAGCTGGAGTTTAGGGCGGGGAAGAAGCCTACCAATTTGGGTGGTCATCGGATAATATTTAGCGGGTAAAATAGACCATATCTTTTGTGTTGAAAAAAATTCAACATTTTTCATTAAACCGCGAATATTTTAAATCCCGGCGAAATCACAAAGCCATGACAAGGTTACTTCTGATCTTTACATTGATGTTAACATCCATCAAATCGGATATATAGCAAAATATGTGCAATATATATGTCTATCAAAGAAGATATGCTTGAAAGATCTCTTATATGTCGAGAACGGCTGAACTGATTTCGACAGTTCTCATTAATTCAAAATGGCCTCTTGGCAGGAAAGAAAATTGCATAAAAAAATTGCATAACATATCTCTCTAAAGATGAAAATATTGATTTTGTAATATTTTCTCATATTTTTTCAATTTTGTCATATTTTTGGCATATTTTCATTTTGAATTAAACATTTGGTAATATTTCTACAGCTAACAAAACTAAGTAGTTAGGATATTCGGATATCATATACAGATCGCATTTATGGCCCGATCCTTACGAAATTTTGCATGGGGATAAGATGAGGGTCAGAATAAAAGCCTACTCTTTTTGGAGATGATCGCCATATATTTAGGGGTTGAAAAGTACCAAAAACTGCAAAATTGTCAGCAGGTCGTAATTATCGCCCGATCCTTACGCACATTTGAATGGGGGTTATCGGACATTGCAAAAGCCAATCAGTTTTGGATGGCCATCCAAAAATATTCAATGTGTGAAGGAGTTTGCCAACTTTTTTAGACAAAATACGAAAATGTCCATTTCAATGACTTTTTGGAGAATTCACAAATACAGGAAAGACGCTCTTCTGACTATTTCGTTAACGCCGATTTCGTTGAAGAATATAGTCAAATGTATGTATCTCATATAGATGCGTTTCAGTCGAAAACCAATAATAAATGTTAATCTTTTGCCACTTCTGAGAGATTATAGGTCTTTGGGAAATATTGGTTCCAGATCTAGGAAGACCATTTACGTGCAACATCTACCAATAAATTGGAAATGAGCAAATTAGTTTAAGTTGCTATTATTCGAAAATTAGAGAACGAAACCTGATGGTTTTCTTTTATTATTTGTCAGATATTGTGAATTGTGGAATTCTTTCGAGTATCTCGCCTATATAAACTGTATCATTTATTATAGTGTTGTAGGGTATTCAACGGTCGGCCCTGCTCGACTGTAGCCTTTGCTTACTTGTTATTTATCATTTCAATTTTTTCTTAGTTCCACATTTTTATTCGACTTTGTACACTATTTATATTCCAACAAAAGTTCCCTGGAAGAGTGGGACAAAATCTTCATTCACTATGACATAGTAGAATGGATGATCAGCTCGGACATCCAAGGGTGCGGTACGGGGCATAATTCCAATTGCTGAAACAAATATAATATTTGAATATTTTTTTCACCCAAAAACAAAGACAAAGTGAGTTTGCATACATGTTGCACCATCGGCAGATGTACCCACTTCATTGACATCAATGTAGGCTTTGTGGACAACATCAGAGACTCGAAGAGGTTCAACCCCTGTCAACATTTTACTCAAATTGGCCTGAGAGAAAATTTGCTTCATGCCAAGCTGAAATGGAAAAGTATGTGAAAAAATATTTCAAATAAGAAAAACTCATTCAAAATTATAAATTCACCTTTTTCAAAGAGTCATTAAGAACCACTTCAAATTTTGTCTTAAATTTTGGCAAATAAAGGCGAACACCTATTGTCCTTAGACCTTGTCCGGCCAGTGATGCCAATGAAAATGTTTTCAGTTTCTCCACCAAATCGGGCAATCCATTACGCGCATTGGGCAAGATGATAATCATGGAAAGATCGCAATCTCTATATGGCAAGCGAACAACACGGGCATCCAATTCAGAAATCTCCTTGGCAGACATGATCCCGGCTTTAGACATCATTTGGACTTTTATGGTTTCTGTTTCATTGGTACAGAAATCGGATTCCTTGGTGTTTTTCGCATCAAATGGCTTCTCCCAGCTGCCCTTGAAATGGATGGCACTCAACAGCATGAGACGGGTATCGTTGCTAAGTGATTCAGGGCTGACAATATCATGTATGGCATTATCTGTTTTAGATTCAACCCAAGAGTTTATTAATTTGGCAGTTTTCATTTCTTGACCAAAATCAACATTTTCCACCGAGGAGTAGAAGTTTTTGGTCAAGACATTATTGTAGGTATCTCTCACAGCATAGTCTTTGGCTACATAAATTTTGTTGGCAATTCTCAAGGTTTTTCCATCATCATATTTTGATAGAATTTTGTGATAATTTTCCATAACTTTTTCCACTGATTGGCCAGAAAAATTGAGAACATTAGCCATCTCAGTTGCAGTTTCACCATCAGCTCCCAAACGCACCATGGCCAAGCAGGTTTGAATTGAGAATGGTGAAAATATGATGTTTTTATCACTGTTCTTTTGGTAGATTTCCGAGAAAATATCTTTACTAAAATTAGCTAAACTATCGGAGAATTGTGGAGAACATGAAGTGGTCCTGCTATGTCCGACGAGACATAGCAGCAAAGTGCTTAAAATCGTTGGTAAATTTCCTGAAATTAGAAAAGTGTTTAGTTTATACTGAGGGGAATTAACAAACACTACGCTTTGGAATGGAATTACTTTAAAACGTTAAAAATTAGGTTAAATGCGGTTGGACCTGACGTTTTATAACCTTGACCATGTGAAAACTTTAATTATGACCGAATCGGATACTCCGAAATCCCCAAAAATTTGAAAAATTAATCCAACGTAAACTATGCCTATGTTGAAAATATTTTGATAGGAGTTAATCTACCCATAAAGAACGCGAAATATTACAGCTCTAATGATTTGGTTAGAAACTTTTGCCGAAACCATCAACGTGCCGAATATCAGAAGGTACTGCTGTATGGTGCTGAAGTTACTTTTTATACTATCCACCATAGTATGGGGGGTATATTAAGTTTGTCATTCTGCTTTAACCTCGAAATAAACATTTTAGACCGCACTTAGTATATATATTCTATATTGTCCGTCTATACGTCTGTGCAAATCACTCTAGCTTCCGAACGAAATGAAGTAGGTTGACAAAAATTTACTCAAATGTATATTATGTCCGCAGGACTTTTGGTATTGAAAATGAGCCATGTAGGTCCACGTTTTGATATAGCCCCCATTTAATGGTACCTCCCTATTTCCGGTATTTTAACAATTTAAGCGACATTATTCGCCGGAATTGTTTAATATTTGGTATTTGAAGTTCGTAATGGGTACTACAGCCTATGACAGAAAATTGTCTGTACAGGTTCACGTTTGCGTATAGCCCCCATATAACGGTATCTCCCGATATTTGGTATTTAATGTCGTCCTATAGACCCAAATATAAAGGCAATATTCGGCATTTTTAAGATTTTAACAGAATTTTTAACGGATTTTATTTTTTTTAAATTGTCCAATTCGTTCCAAACGGTGGGTATTCAAGGTTCGACACGGCCGAACTTACAGCTTTTTTACTTGTTTGAGGATTAAATCTATCCATAGCGAAAACAAAAGTCAGATTTAGATGGAAATTGGGGCAGATGCCTTAAAAATACTACAACTCAGGAAGTATTGGAGTTAAAACAAAAACTTATATCAGCACAAGGTCTAATGTGTATAAGGCTTATATCGGACCACTCCTTCTGGTACATCCCCAAATGGTTACAATTTTTAATAATTATTATTCTTATAAAATATGAAATAAAAGTCCGATTTTCTTTGAAGTTCGGATATCTCAATATTAATATCAACACAAGATCGGGTGAATATATGGAATATATAGGGCCACTCCTTCTGGCGATTTTCGTCACATTTTTTCACGGATTTGTCCAAAAATTGGTATTTGTAGTTCATAATGGGTTCTAGCTTCGGTGGCGAAACATTATATGTATACATCCATGTTTTTATAGCTCCCACACAATGGTAAATCCCGATATTCCGCATTTTAATAATTTTTGCCACTTTTTTTCAACGGGTTTGTCTAGAAGTTGGTATTTTTAGTTCGTAATGAGTTCTTGCTTCGGTTGCGAAACATTTTATTTACAAATCCAAGTTTTGCTATGGACGATACCTTCCTATAGTCGGTGTTTTTATGATTTTTGCCACATGTTTCCACGGATTTGTATAAAAATTGCTATTTGTAAATCATAATGGGTTTTAGCTGCTGCAGCGGAAGATTGAAAATTTAGGCCCACGTTTTCCTATAGCACACATATAACGATATCAACCGATACTCATTATTTTGATAATTTGAAATTGTTTCAAATTTGGTATTTAAGAAGATTTGGTAGATGATAATCCTTGAAGTATAAAAATGTGTATAGAGTTCTCGTTTTGGTATGGCCCCATATAATGGCCTCACTCACTTTATTGTTTTTGAAAAGTTTAACCGCATTTTTCAAACGGTGTTACTGGTATTTATAGTTTAAAGTGGAACACGTTTGAATTCAGATTGTTTTATATACAAATGTTTTCTTTATCGAATGGTGGAGGGTATTAAAATTTCGGCCTGGCTGAATTTAAGGTTTTTTTTACTTGATTTTTTTTGTTTTTGTTAACAAACCTTTTTGTTCTTCCGAAAGTGTGACTTACCGTTCAATCTCATTGGTTTTCTTTTTCGTCCGATTACGATGATACTGGTCGATCACTATTTGTGAAATAAAAATAATCAAGCTATTCAATTGATTTATATTTCAGAGACCATACTTGGTTATCAGTTCAAGTGGATGAAACTGAATCTAAGAAATGTATTATAAAATTGCCTCTGATGTGTTTGTTGTTCTACGTGCACTAAGGTCGCGGGCATTTCTCTTGCTCTGGTAAAATTGCAATCAATTCTACAAAATTGATTAAACTAATGGGGAAAAAAATTAATCTATGTTAAAAACTCATTATTTGATGATATTGTGGAAAACCCTACACCAATGAGAGAAAATTTAGTTTTAAAGCGATTTCAAGTAAGCATTTGAGCCTTTATGTGATCTCTCGAAATTCAATATATCGTGGGTACCGAAGGTATATGGGGGCTATACAAAAACGTGGACCTGCACAGACAGTTTTCTCTCATTGGCTGTAGTATTCATTACGAACTTCAAATACTAAATTTAAAATAGTTCCGGTAAATAATGTCGCTCAAATCGTCAAAATACCGAAAATTCATTGTCCAGAAGTTTATAAACAAACAAAATGATCGTGTTTACTTGCCAAAGTGGTCAGCTGAAAATGTGCTCTTTCGATTGGCCACCAGAACTCAAGCGCTGGCCATGGTGATAGTGGGGGTCTCCATAACATAACAGCCGATGGCCGCTCTCCGCTCGTATTAATCGACCGTGGCATCAGAATAAATGCCGAATGTTATCGCGAAAATATTCTGGAGGGTGTATTAAAGCCTTGGACACTCATAAATTTTGGCCACAGACCTTGGACATTCCAACCGGACTCTGCACGCGCCACCCAAGAATGGTTACAAAATGAGGTTCCTCGCTTCATTTCCAGCACACAATGGCCACCAAAATCTCCGGATACCAATCCGTTGGGCTATTGTGTCTGGAGTATTTTGGAAAGCAAGGTTAACACAAAAAATACCAAATTGGCGATCACCTCAAGCAAGCGTTTCGCCGGGATGGACCAAAATTCCGCAAAGCAACATTCGGACAGCGTGTGACGGTTTCATCGGCCGTTTGAAGTCCATTATTCGTGCCAAAGATGACAAACTTGAACAAATCTAAACTTATTCTAAAATGTCATGCTATTTCCGACATTTTTTGCTTTCATTCAATAAAATTAAAAAAAATCATAATCATATCAGTCTTATGTTCTGATAACATATTTAATTGATTTAATTTTGAACAACATAAACATTTTATTTTCCCACAAAAGTTCCCTGGAAGAGGGGAACTGAATTCTCATTCACTATGGCATAGTAGAATGGATGATTGGCTCGGAAATCCAAAGGTCTGGTGCGGGTCATAATTCCAATTTCTAAAAAAAAAAACACAATATTTGAATATTTTCCTTCTTTCAAATGAAAATTTTGACTTCATACTTGTAACTCCAGCGGCAGTGGTGCCCACTTCATTGACATCAATGAAGGCTTTGTGGACAACATCCGAGACCTGAAGTGGTTCAATTCCTTGCAGCATATTACTCAAATTGGCCTGAGAGAACATTTGCTTCATGCCCAGCTGTAAAAAGAAACAAAACTAAGAAAATCCTTTTTATGGAAAGGCGTCAAATATCCCACCTTTTTCAAAGGCTCATTAAGAACCACTTCAAATTCTGCCTTAAATTTGGGCAAGAAAAGGCGCACCCCTCTTCTCCTCAGACCTTGGCCGGCCAGTGATGCCAATGAAAATGTTTTCAATTTCTCCACCAAATCAGGCAAACCATTGCGTTCATTGGGTAATATAATCACCATGGAAAGATCACAATCTCTGTAAGGCAAACGAATGGCAGTGGCGTCCAATTCAGAAATTTCCTTGGCAGACATCATTCCGGATTTGAACATCATCTGGACTTTAACGGTATTCTTATCATCGATATAGAAGTCTTCCTCTTCGGTGTATTTCAAATCGAATGGTTTCTCCCAGTTGCCCTTGAAATAAATGGCACTCAAGAGCACAAGACGTGTATCGGTGGTAAGTGATGTCGGGCTAACAATATCATGGATAGTGTTATCAGTTTTCGATTCAACCCAAGAATTCATTAATTTGGCTGTTTTTGCACCTTGACCGAAGTCTACATTTTCCACCGCTGAGTAAAAATTATTGGTCAAAACATTATTGTAGGTATCTTTCAGATCATAGTCTTTGGCCACATAGATTTTATTGGCAATTTTCAGGGTTTTTCCATCATCATATTTCGATAGAATTGTGTGATAATTGTCGACTACCTTTTCCACCGGTTGACCTGTCAAACTGAGGCCATCATCCATCTCGGCTGCGGTTTCACCATCAGCTCCCATTCGCACCATAGCCAAACAGGTTTGAATTGAAAATGGTGAAAATATAATGCTTTTATCGCTGTTCTTTTGATAGATTTCCGAGAAAATATCTTTACTAAAATTCTCCAAACTCGAATGGAATTTTAGCGAATCTTGGGAATCTGCTAATGTTTCGGACAGGCATAGCAGCAAGGAGCCTAAAATTATTGCTATACTTCCTGAAATCAAAGTAATTCTTATGATTTGGGCAATTACTGAAAAAAAGATCATGTTTTGCGTATGTCTTACCTTTCAGCCCCATTCTTTGTCTTTGCTCTATCCACTCACGACCGCGTTGAAACTAAACAAATATTATTTTTGCTTGAATATTAATAAGCTATTCTCTTCATTTATATCAGAGAGGCCAGAATTTGATTATCAGTTTTTTTGTTTAAAATTGAATCTAATGTTTTTACTTCAAGATTGTCAAATACAGTATTTGTTGTTCTAGGTGCATTGAGGTCGAATATATTTTGTGCCATTTTTTTTTTTATTTTATAGATTTTAAAAATTCTGAATTGGCTTGATACTGCAGGGGAAAAACGCTATCTGAGCGTGCATAAATATAGTCCAAACTTTGACCTATACCAAAAGTTTCCAATGAGAAATTCTATTGACTTGCATTGGATGACGTAGTTTGTTTTCATACTCCCCACCATAATATTGAAGGTATGTTTTTAATCTTCCCTCACGTCTGCTACACTTCTACATATTCAATGTACCATTAATTAATTGTTACATCTTCTGAAGAAAATTCTCCTACAGCACAGTGATTCCATACAGCGAAAAAATAATAAAAAAGTTAAAAAAATTATATAGGTTTCTAATCTAATAGATCAGATTTCATTGTGAGTCTTTTTTATTTTCGAAAAAATTGGCCATCCATCCGATGCACTGAAACTTTTCTTAAATTTGAACTATGCGAAAACCATGTGGATAAAGCATTCGGTTTGGATTTTTAGGCGAAACTTTTTTATGGCCATAGCCATATACAAAGGTACCACAATATTTAATACAGAGCTTTGAAATTCTCGGAAGAGTTTGGGTTTACATCTACAATCATTGTTTTAATTAACATGTCATGTTGACCACTCTGTGGCCAAGTAGTATACATTTTCCATTTCTCCCGAAATAAATGGAGACCTGAAAATCAATATTGAGTATTCAAGCCCTATTGCTTTACCCATTACTAAATGTAGTACCATTTAGTACTTTGCGTACATATATACGGCACATTTTCAAACCTCCCGCAAATCTCAAACACAGATACCACCAGTAATCAAAATATCCAATATCACAATTGTATATCTATGCCTGCATCCAATACCAAATATGTATAGTGCCATCCGGTATTTATCGTATTATTATAGTGAAGATTTCCGAAAGTAACACAATGTGTCCAGGCAGATACTCTACAGTTTCTCTTCAGATATCAGACACTATATGCTCACCCAATAAAAAATGGTAGCAAAAATAGAACACATTTAGAAAACCAACTCTTTATAACAGACCTGCTACCAACGGGAATCCTAATACAAAATTTCGAAATTTCAGCTTTATCCGTTCACTCGAAACCAAGCTGTTCCAAATTTAGTGCCATTTATCCCAGTTCGCACAATTAATACACATTCCCAAAACCATCTTCATACATCAATTTGACACTCCGACATGGATTATTGTACTGCATATCAAGTTTTTAGCTCTATCCGTTCAAATAATACCAAACTGTATCATTTTAAAAGTTTATTACCATTTTAGAAATTTTTGTAGCCTTACAGTTCGAAATTCGAAAAACCTTTGGATCATCTATCCTGCACTCCATTTCTGAATTATACCTATTCCTACCTTCTACCATTTACTCCCAGTACGAAACCAAACACAGACATTTTTAGCCAATTCAGCCAATGGATAATTTGACAAACTCGCTCGAATATCTAAAATCGGAGGTATCTTTATATAATAGCTGTAACACAATGTTAGCCAGTAGAAATATTGAAGTCTCAATAGTGGGGTTTTCCTCATCATAAAATACACATACATATATTTTTCGAAATTTTTTTTGAAATTAATATGATTACATCTGAATTAGGCTCCAACAAATACACCTTCAATTAAAGGTTTGTATGCCTTATTTAGAATGGCATAATAAAACGGTCCATCGGCACTGAATCTGAAGAATGGATTATTGCGGCTATAATGATTCGAAGCTAAAGAAAAAGAGGCATTAAGAACAATGGAAGGGATATTAATACGATTTCTTAACTTACTCAATATGGGAGAAGCTGGATCTCCTTCTTCACCAATTTCCAGATTTATTTGTTGAATGATATCGGTTACAGATATAGGTTGAGAGGATGTCAACATTTTGGCTAAATTAGCACCTTCAAAAATGCTTGTCATAGCCAGCTAAAAAAAAAAATAAAAATTGCAAGTAAAAAAGCTATAAATTCGGTCGGGCCGAATTTTAAATACCCTCCACCATTTGGAACGAATTTGGCATTTTTCAAAAAAAAAATCCGTTAAAAATTCTGTTAAAATCTTAAAAATACCAAATGTCTAAACGACGATGTGGACCTGTATAGGCAACTTTAATCATAAGCCATTACAATATTCAAATGCGAAACTTGAAACAAACATCGATGAATATTTGTTGTTAAAATCATCAAAATACCGAATATAAGGATGTACTTTATACAGAAAATTGTTTTTATACAGACAATTTTCTGCCTTAGGCTGCAGTATCCATTACGAACTTCAAATACCAAATGTGAAACAATTCCGATGAATAATGTCGCTAAAATCATCAAAATATCGAATATCTAGAGGTACCGTTATATGGGGGCTATACGAAGACGTGGACCTGCATAGACAATTTTCTGTTTTAGGCTGTAGTATCCATTTCGAACTTCAAATACTATGTTTGAAACAATTCCGGTAAATAATGTCGCTGAAATCATCAACATACCGCATACCGGGAGGTTCCGTTATATGGGTGCGATACCAAATCGTGGCCCATTTTCAATACCGAAATGCCCGCAGACATAATACACATTTGAGTAAAATTTTATCAAAATACTTCATTTTGTTCGGAAGCTAGAGTGATTTATGCTGATCAAGAGTATATACTTTGTGGGGTCTAAAATATATATTTTGAGGTGTTAACAAGTAAAAAAACATTAAGTTCGGCCGGGTTAAACTTTTAATACCCTCCACCTTAGGGTAAACGAAACATTAGAAGAAATGTGGCAAAAACCATTAAATTACCGAATATCGGGAGGTTCCGTTATATGGGGGATATACCAAAACGTAGACCTATAATTACAAACACGAACTAGGACCCATTATAACCCACAAATACCAATTTTTAGACAAATGAGTGAAAAAATGTGGCAAAAACCATAAAAATACCGAATATAGGGATGTACCGTTATATGGGGGCTATATCAAATCATGGACCTATGCATACAATGTTTCGCCACCGGAGCTGGAACACAATTTTCAGACTAATCCGTGAAAAAAGGTTGCAAAAATCATCAAATTACCGAATATCGGGAGGTACCGTTATATGGGGGCTATACCAAATCATGGACCGATACATGCAATGTTTCGCCACCAGAGCTGGAAACCATTATGACCAACAAATACCAATTTTTAGACAAATCCGTGAAAAAATGTGGCAAAAAAAAAACTAAAATACCGAATATCGGGAGGTACCTTTATATGGGGGCTATACCACAACGTGGACCTATACATGCAATGTTTTGTCACACGCTCAGGGACCCGTTATGACCTACAAATACCAATTTCCAGACAAATCTGTAAAAAAATGTGGCATAAATCATCAAAATACCGAATATCGGGAGGTACCGTTATATGGGGACTATACCAGAACGTGGACCGATATATCTCATTTTCAATACCAAACATCCTAGACAGAATGCAAATAGTTCTGCTAAATTTTGGCGCTCTACATCCAATAATGTGGGCTGTATCGTGATTTCAACAGACAGATAGACGGACAGACAGACAGACGGACATCGTTAAATCGACTTAGAAATTTATGCTGATTATGAATATATACTTTATGGGGTCTAAGACGAATATTTAAGGATGTTACGAACGGAATGACAAAGTTAATATACCCTCCTTTCCAAGGTGGAGGGTATTAAAATGGAATCCAACTTAATATACCCTCCATTCTATAGTGGAGGGTATAATTACAAATATTTAAAAAAAATTGAACCATACATTACACAAATAATTAATGCGTTGTAAATTATTATGCTTTTTAAAAAAACATATTTTTCCAGAATTCTTTTTAGATTAATAGACGGTCATTCCTGAGTGTCATTCGTCAACTGAATTTATTTCTTATACAAGAAATAACAACCAAATGCATTTTAAAAAATTAAATTTTCTTATAACAATAGACTAAGGTCTGAATTCGTCTCCCGATGAATGGTATTACATTGGCCTTGAATATATACTCACGTTTTTAAGGCTATCCTTTAAATTGACTGTAACATCCATTTTAAATTTCGGCATACGAAATTCAATACTCTTCCTTTGAAACACTTTAGTTTCAATAAACGATGGCATATCCACCGATTTCATTGTTGTCAAAACTTTATCTAAGCCGTCAGCTCTAAATGGCACCACCACCAACATCGATAGACCCGCATCGCGATATGGCAACAGTATGGCACCAGCATTCATTGCCGCTTGTCTGCCATAGCGAAAATAAGAACGAACTTTCATCATTGGCACCATGACAAAATTATCATCTTCATCAACATAGAATTTATCTGGCTTCGTCCAATTCGCATTGAATCCAGTCTTCCAAGGACCATTGAAATTAACTGAGCTCACTAGAAGCAGATCTGTGTTGGGTTGTAGATTTTCTGCCAAATTGTTGATTGTATTTCCTGTCGTTGAGGCAACCCATTCGTTAATGCCCTCGGCTGCCTTTTCCGTTTGACTGAAATCCATGTTCTCAGCTGATGAAAAGAATTTACCGGCGAGCAATGTTTTGAAATCCTCATTTATGGATTGACCATTTTTCACATAGATTTTGTTGGCAAACTTAAAATGCCCGGCTTTAGCGTACTTCGCCAATTCGTTGTGATAATTATCCGGCAAAATGTTTAAAACTGATTTGCTTAAATTCAGGATTTTATCTAGTTCTTGGGAAGTTTTTCCTCCAGCTCCCATGCGTATCATGGCCAGGCATGTCTCAGCCGAAAAGGGTGACACGATAACATTTTGATCATAGCCTGATGGCACTAAATCTTTCAACAAGCTGCTTCCAAAGTTTTCCGTTGCAGTTGTTATTGTATATAACAAAGCAACTACAAACGTAGTTGTAAGGGTTTTTACTGAAAATAAAAAGGAATATATAGATGTTAATATTAGTGATTACAAAAATAGTTTTGATTAACTGTTGTAAAATATTATTTAATTCGAAGTTTACATAAACTTTTTCCACTTCTCCAGATTTGAGGGTACAAAGGGTATCATTGGATGCGTCCGAAATATGTCTCGTCAACATGACGCTATTTCGATATCTGGACGAATTTCGTTTCAGGGCATTTGGAATCAATCTAGCCATGCCTGCTCATCCTACACTCTAGCTGGTGCGCAGGATAACCACCGAAGTACTTTCTTCAAGCTTATACAGATTTCAAAGGTTATTCCTCTCCTTCCCCTTAAAAATTTAAAAATTCCAAATAAAAGATAAATGTTCCATCAAAGGTAGCGAGAATTGCATTTGGTACAAACATTTGGTGAAATTTATCGACAAATATTTCCCAAACATAAAAAAATGTTTTGAAACTAATGATTCTCTAAGCCATCCAAAGCTCTCTATAACACATAAAATATATTAAATGCTGTGAGATAAAGCTCAAAATAATGGAGTCCCTTGTATATAGTTCAGGCTAAAGGCCCTAAAATGTTGTCCTGATAAGCCAAAACTCTTTTAGGGTTGTGATCAACAAACGGAATGCTATAAAATACACTTGGAATTGTCCACAACCTAAACAAGCTATTGCATAGTGTACTTTTGCACAGAATTGAGGAAAAGAGCCAACAATTGTCAAAAATAAAAAAAAGTAAGGAAAGGTCAAAAGCCGAGCGGGGCCGACTATATGATATCCTACACCACCATGCGTATTTAGCAGAGCTCCCGTAACCAAAATAGTTCGTATTAGAAATTTATGTGAAGCAAATCATACCAACTATGAACCTTATTTGAATGCGAATCATGGCTTTAGAGTAGTCACAATTTTGAAACTATGTCCAACTCTGAATAGATTTTCAACAACGTAGACAGAAGCCTTTTTACCTCTTGTACAAAATAAAAATATTGTATAGTGCATGATATGACTTCGATAAGAATTGTATTAACAAACAAGTAAGCAAAGGCTATAGTCGTGCGGGGCCGACCATGTGATACCTTACAACACTACAATATGTTGGAAGCCCCCTTATGTCCAAATCAATTTTGGAAGATTTCGCTTTTGAAATTTTGTCATGGAGCATTGCGAAGATATTGCCCTTAGCATTTTGACCAGGAACATTTGCGCACTCCGTCGTGCGTCGTGTTGTGGTCCATTTTACAGCTAAATATAATCCAATGGTCATCCAAAAAGCTAGAATTCTTCCCTATCCTTAACTCTCTTCTCAGGCATGTCGATTGGCTTCAATTGTGTGATCAGTAATTTTTTTCTGTTTTGGTTCATTTGAGCCCCTTAATATTTTGCGATCATCTCCAAAAGCAAGAAGCCGTTCTGCATCTACAAATTTAGACCCATTTATATGATTAATTTCTATTTGCGACCTTATAAGGGCTGCAAAATCAGGAACATTTTTAGTGGTTGGTCCATTTCAACCCCTAAATATATTGCGGTCATCTTTGAAAACAATAGATCTTCTGAGCCTAACCCTACCCTTGTGAAAATTTTCGTGAAGATCGGACGATAATTGCAATCTGTGCATAATAACCGTGTTGTAAGGTCAAAAATTTTACAAAATGTACATTTCAATATTATAAGTCAAATTAAAAAAATCGCATGTGATAAAAAATATGAAAAAATTAAAAAATGTCACAAAATGCAACAAAATCTATAATAACACCATTATTGGCACATTTTTATGAGATTTTTTTAGATTTTATTCTTTCATGCCAAGAGGGCATTCTGAATTGACAAAATCGCTCCAGTTATTCTGGAAATTTAAGCATTCTAACTAACATCCCCTTCCTTTGTATATGTACATTGTATCCGATATATTTACTATCGGCATCGACGTAACGGTTAGAAGTGACCCGTTCGTCTATTTGTGATTTCGTCGGGATTAAAGATATTCGCGGTTTACTGCAAAATTTGACTTTTATTTAACACAAATATTATGGCCTATTTCGCCCACTAAATATTACCCGATGACCATCAAAATTGGAAGACTTCTAGCCACCCCTAAGCTCTAGCCCCATTTTAACTTCCGCTTCGATTGGTCCATAATTGCGACTTGTAGAACAACTGCAAAATCAAGAAATTTTTCAGTTTTTGGTCCATTTCAACCCCTAAATATTATGCGATCGTCTCCAAAAGCAATAGCGTTCTGACCATAACCCCACCTCCATTTTCAATTTCATGAAGATCGGACCATAATTGCGACCTGTAGAGTGATTACAAATTAACATGGACAGACGGACGGACATATATATCTAGATCGACTCAGCTCGGCAAGATAGGAAGATCCATACATACTTTCCTATGTGGGAAACCAATATTTCGAGATGTTACATAATTTTTGGCCCAATCAAACTTATAATACCCCCAACACATAGTGTTGTAGGTATAAAAAACTATTTATTGGACCGATATTACATACATGGTGAACAATAACCGTAAAATCGGATAAGATATATAACGAAGCTACGATAATATTTTTCAGAGGTATTTTGGAGCTGTATCTGATATCTGGTACCAAATATCAAAATATTACGCATGTGAGGGACTTTAGAACAAATCGGAAACAGATATATGGGAGATATAGCTATATCTGAACCGATTTTCGCCAAATTTTAAGTAAATGCTTCTAGGCTGAATTCCGTCGGAAGTGCGACATTTCACTCCATTTCACTGATATTATCCATTCTGTTCACAATAAACCTGAAATCGGATAAAGGTATATATGGACGCTATATCCAAGTCTGAACCGATCTCTATAAAATTTAGCGGATTTATTACTATGCTATATTAAATAGCTGGCACGAAATAATATCGTGTTGTTAAAGTGCATTTTAGGCGTGTGAGGGACTTAAATACAAAATCTTAACCGATTTTCACCAAATATGATACTCTTTCTTCAATTCGGATTTACATTAACCATTTTGTGCAAAATAAACTTGAAATCGAGAAAAGATATATATGGCAGCTATATCCGAATCGAGGTAGATAAAATTTGGCAAATGTATTTCTTAGTTATATTTGATATATTTTTCCGAATATCGTTGTAACGGAGTGCATATTACGGCTGTGGAAAGGAAATTTATCAAATAGGATGAATATCTATATATTCTAAACCGATAGCTATATCTAAACCGATTTCCCGTGAGTTTGACACAAGGTTATTTTTTAACCAATGATTTTTGAAGTAATCCAAAGACCTCTATAACACCTAAAAGTTCTATATCAAATACTGTCAGATAAAGCTCAAAATAGACACACAACATTTGGCCTTATAATCCAAAATTCGATTAGGTTTGTGATCAAAAAAAAAAAAAAAAAAAAAAAATACAAGTGTATTTCCTCCAAATTGAAAAATAAAGCCAGACTTGTAAAAACAAAAAAATTTAGCTCTTCTCCGAAACATTAGTCCCTATTGAAGCTTGTTTTTTTTTATCGAAAAAGGCTTCTAAACCAAGTAAAAGCCAAATCGATTGGGAAATCAGGTGGTATATTTTATAAATCGGTAAAAGCGGGTTTACAGTTATATACCAAAAATAAAATCTAAATTCGTCATGGATAAAAAAATGTTTTATAAACCAAAATTGGTTTTTATTTGTTACATTTATATCGGCTGCAAAATCCGGAACATTTTTAGTTGTTGGTCCATTTCAAGCCCTAAATATATTGCGGACATCTTTGAAAACAATAGGCCTAGCCATTCTGAGCCTATCCATGTGAAAATTTTCGGAGGATCAGGCGATAATTGCAATCTGTATATAATAACCCTAACCTGTGTTGTAAAGTAATAAAATATTACAAAATATACGCTTGCATATTATAACGCCATTTGCAAAAAATCGCGTGCGATAAAAAATATGAAAAAATTAAAAAAAAATTTCACAAAATACTATAAAATCTATGTTAACATCATCATTGGCATCGTTTTATGCGATTTTTTAGATTTTATACTTTTATGCCAAGAGGCCATCTGAATTGGTTAGCATTCTAACTAACATCCCCTTCCTTTGTATGTACACATTGTATATATTTCTCTACATATATCCGATATATTTACTATCGGCATCTACGTAACGACCTCTTCGTATTTTTGTAATTTCCCCGGGATTAAATATATTCGTGGTTTATTAACTTTTATTTAAAACAAATGTTTTAGTATATTCAACCCACTAAATATTATCCGATGACCATCCAATTTGGAAGGCTTCTGCCCAGCCCTAAGCTCTAGCCCCATGCCAACTTTCGGTTGATCTATGATTGCCACCTGTAGAGCAACTGCAAAATCAACAAATTTTTCAGTTTTGTTCCATTTCAACCCGATCACCTTCAAAAGGGCCATAATTGCGACCTGTAGAGTGATTACAAATTAACATGGACAGACGGACGGACATTCATAGGCGAGATAGGAAGATCCATATATACTTTCCTATATGGGAAAACAATATTTCGAGGTGTTACATAATTTTTGGCCCAATCAAATTTTCCGAGTTCCACAAAATGGAAACATACATTCCGAAATGCATCCCATTTGGACTGATATTAGCCAAATAATGATACAATAAACCTGAAACCGTTTAAAAGTATTAAGTTCGGCAGAGCCATATATACCATCCGCCATATGGAAGAAATTTACAATTTTCCAAAAAAAAAAAAAAATCGTTGAAAATCAACAAACATCATAAAAAATATAAGGAGTTGCCGTTATGTTGGGGTCTATAGAAAGACGTGGACCTGCATAGACTATTACAATATTCAACAAGTAAGCAAAGGCTACAGTCGAGCGGGGCCGACCGTTGAATACCCTACAACACTATAATAAACGATACAGTTTATATAGGCGAGAAACTCGAAAGAATTCCACAAGATATTGTGACAAATAATAAAAGAAAACCATCAGGTTTCGCTCTCTAATTTTCGAATAATAGCAACTTTAACTATTTGCTCATTTCCAATTTATTGGAAGATGTTGCACGTAAATGGTCTTCCTAGATCTGGAACCAATATTTCCCAAACACCTATAATCTCTCAGAAGTGGCAAAAGATTAACATTTATTATTGGTTTTTGACTGAAACGCATCTATATGAGATACAGACATTTGACTATATTCTTCAACGAAATCAGCGTTAACGAAATAGTCAGAAGTGCGTCTTTCCTGTATTTGCGAATTCTCCAAAAAGTCACTTGAATGGACATTTTCGTATTTTGTCTACAAAAGTTGGCAAACTATTTCACACATTAAATAATTTTGGATGGCCATCCAAAACTGCTTGGCTTTTGCAATGTCCGGTAACCCCTATTCAAATGTGCGTAAGGATCGGGCGAATTACGACCTGCTGACAATTTTGCAGTTTTTTGGTCCATTGAAATATATGGCGATCATCTCCAAAATGAGTAGGCTTCTATTCTGACCCTCATCTTATCTCCATGCAAAAGTTCGTAAGGATCAGGCCATAAATGCGATCTGTATGTGATATCCTGAAATCTTAACTACTTAGTTTTGTTAGCTGTAGAAATATTAGCAAATGTTTAATTCAAAATGAAAATATGCCAAAAATATGACAAAATTGAAAAAAAATGAGAAAATTTACAAAATCAATATTTTCATCTTTAGAAAGATATTTTTATGCGACTTTTTATGCGTTTTTTCTTTTCTGTCAAGAGGCCATTCAGAATTAATGAGAACTGTCGAAATCAGTTCAGCCGTTCTCGACATAAAATAGATCTTTCAAGCATATCTTCTTTGATAGACATATATATCGCACATATTTTGCTATATATTCGATTTGTTGGATCTTAACATCAATGTAAAGATCAGAAGTAACCTTGTCATGGCTTTGTGATTTCGCCGGGATTTAAAATATTCGCGGTTTAATGAAAAAATTTGAATTTTTTCAACAAAAAAGATATGGTCTATTTTAGCCGCTAAATATTATCCGATGACCACCCAAATTGGTAGGCTTCTTCCCCGCCCTAAACTATAGCTACATGCGAAATTCCGCGTCGATTGGTGCATAATTGCGACCTGTATAGCTACTGCAAAATCCGACATTTTTTCAGTATTTGGTCCATTTCAACCCCTAAACATTTGGCGATCATCTCCAAAAGAAATAGAGTTCTGTTCTGACATTAACCCCACCTACGTTTTAAATTTCGTGAAGATCGGGCCATAATTGCGACATGTAGAGTGATTACAAATTGACATGGACAGACGGACAGACGGACGGACGGACATACATAGCTAGATCGACTCAGCTCGGCGAGCTACTTTCCTATGTGGGAAATCAATATTTCGTGGTGTTACATAATTTTTGGCCCTATCAAACTTATAATACCCCCAACACATAGTGTTGTAGGGTATAAATACGAAACTTGAAACGATTCCGATGATGCGCAAAAACATCAACTTTACGAAAAGTTGGAGGTACCCTCATATGGGGGCTACACGGAGGATACGAAAACGTGTTTTAACAATTTTCAGTAATTTTCAGGCTGTAGTACCGAACTTCAAATAAGAAATTTGAAACATTTCCGGTGAAAAGTATGACACAAATCATCATTTTGCTCGGACGGACAGAAAAATCGAAATAAAATGTTATGCTTATCAAGAAAAAAAATATATTCTGTTTTAAATTTTACATTCGGAATAACAAACTTAGTATACCCTCCAGACCTGTTACGATCCCTTCAAAATTAGGAGTTGTTAATCATATTTAGAAAGAGGGACCAAAAATACCCCTTCAGTAGCTCTTTTGAGGTTTAATCCTAATATGAGATAAATAGCTTTGCGATATAAACTACGAAAATACCGATACATTTGTCTTAAGTACATGGTCTACTTTCACAATCTACTGGATTTTTTGTAATTATTAAAAATTAAAAAGTTTTGTCGCACAGTGTAATATATAATGAAAATATTTTTGTCAATTTTGACAAAAAAGTGTTTCTTAACTCTTGATGAATGTTTTCTTCGGCTTTTCTCCGAGCTAATGCATCAATGTAAAATAAAACTTTGCTTTAGAAAGATAATGGTAAAAATGGAAATATTTTGTACACAATTCAATTTCAGACTCAGAATATATTATCTCGATATAATCATTTTTAAGAAAAAATCCATTCAAAATATATATATTACAAGTGTAAATTACATTTCATTGTGAGACTCTGCACAAAAATAATGTGTAAACTAAATATGTATGATAAAAATATATCATAATTTTTGTACTTAATAAAATATCACTTTCTTCATAAAATGTTACTTTCTTAGTAAAGTGTTTAAAATGTATAATATATAAAATCAATTCCACTCACCCGTTCCCATTTCGACAAATTCAGCTAAGCTATTGGACAATAAATGCCAAAGAAATAGTAAGGTATTTCAAAAAAAAAAAAAAAAAACAAGTATACACCTGTATTTACTCAAGATCTGCACTCGATCGATCGTTATGAAAAAAAAAAAATAACAAAGCAACACTTGCGAAGAAAACAATAGCATTTGTGCACTCTAATTAAATATTTGAATACAATGTGAAATTATTTCGAGAGGTTGTTGTTATGCTTGAAACAGCTGTTTGTTGCGTAGATTAATTTAGGGAAATTCCAAACTAACTAACTACTATTTTGCATTTCTTTTAAATGTTTTCAATCGATAAACATATGATTTTAATCTATGTCAGAATTATGAACTTCATATTTCAATGGCAAATCGGGTACAGGTGTAAATTTTAAAATAAGACCATAATTTTTTTCACCTATTACATTAATAATGCAATAGATTTTGAAAGTAGAATTAAAATTCGAAGAGAAGTGTATGAAGCAAGTCAACAAAGTGGTATTTTGGATGTTTTTTTTTATTCTTCAAAAAATAGTTGAAAACTCTCTCTAAACGGAATTGTATATTTGTCGTAAACCCTAGGAATTCATATATATTAATAAGTAAAAAAGCAGTAAGTTCGACCGGGCCGAACATTGAATACCCTCCACCAATTGAAAAAAAAAAAACAATAAAATCCATTGAAAATTCTGTTAAAATCTTTAAAATACCTAATATTGGAAGGTGCCGATATATGGGGGGATATACGATATTGTGGACCTTTATAGACAAATCTATGTCTGGGGGTAAAGAACTCACATAGAACCCCTTGTGTAGAATTTCAGAAAATTCCGTTAAAAAATGTGGCCAAAATCATCAAAATACCGAATATCGGGAGGCACCGTTATATGGGGGCTATACGATATTGTGGACCTATATAGATAATTTTCTTCCAAGGGATAAAGTACCCATAAGGAACTCCTTGTGTGGATTGTCAGACAATTCCGTTGAAAAATGTGGGTAAAATCATCACAATACCGAATATCGGGGGGGGGGGGTACCGTTATATGGGGGCTTTACGATATCGTGGACCTATAGACAATTCTCTTTTGGGGGGGAGGGGGTGGTGAAATACTTATAAGGGACTCCTTGTGTGGAATTTCAGACAATTCAATTGAAAAATGTGGCTAAAATCATAAAAATACCGCATATCGGGGGTACCGTTATATGGGGGCTATACGATATCGTGGACCTATATAGATAGTTCTTTTCCAAGGAATAAAGTACTCACAAGGTACAATTCCGTTGAAAAATGTGACTAAAATCATCAAAATACCGAATATCCGGGGGTACCATTATATGGGCGTTATACGATATCGTGGACCGATATTGCCCATCTTCGAACTTGACTTGCCTGCAGACAAAATACAGATCTGTGCAAAATTTTAGCTTCCTATCTTAATTCGTTTAGACTGTAGCGTGATTACAACAGACGGACGGACAGAGCTAAATCATCTTAGAATTTTACGCTGATCAAAAATATATATACTTTGTTGGGTCTAAAGCGAATATTTCGATGAGTTACAAACGGAATGACGATCTTAATATACCCTCCATACTATGTATGGTGGAGGGTATAAAAACATAAAAATGCAAAAAATTATTTCTAAATTTTTGTTCAAATTATCGACCTCGACCTCTTTTCGAGCTACTGCATGAAAATAACATAAAATTTCGTTTCAAGCTAAAAGTGTCAGAGGAAGAAATATTATACATACAATTTCACTATAGATCTATGAACAAACGATGTATTTAGAATTAACATTTTTATACCCTCAGCCATATGGCTACAGAGGGTATATATCATTTGATACGTTCAAAACGTACCTAGTCGAAATAATGGTTTTAGAACCTAGGTCTCTTTGGACCAAATCTGTCTGTCTGGATGGCTTGTCCACACGATAACTCTCGTATTTGGTTCAAATTTGGTACAAATGGTCAAAATTTTCAATAATTACAACTCTCATAAAATGTGATGGAAGATTCCGATTGTCTTCAAATTTCACACAGCCCAATATACATGTTAACCCAATGTCTGGTATTAAGATTGAATATATCGGTCCACTTCTTCTGGTGCCTCCCTCACAAACGCTCAAAATTTTAAATATCCATGAAGCTTCGAAAAATCGAAATCAACATCCGATAAAATAAAATATTTATATCATATTTATCTAGGTCCAATATGAAATGGACAATATTGACCCATTCTTTCAAAACCCAAGTCAAAACAAATACAGGTAGGAAGCTAAAATTTTGCACAGATCTGTTTTTCGTTTGCAGGCAGGTCATGTTCGAAGATGGGCTCTATCGGTCCACCATAACGTATAGCTCCCATATAACATTACCCCCATTATAACGTTACATTGCTTCGAATTCGTATTTAGAGATCGTAATAGAAACTACAGCCTGTGACAGAAAATTGTCTATGCTATTTTAGGTACAATATTCACCGAAAGGTACTATGGCCTGTGACAAAAAATTGCCTATGCTTGTCCAGGTCTTCGTACAGTTCCGATGTAACGATACCTCCTTATATTTGGTTTGAATATTTGAATATTGTAATGGTCTTTGACAAAAGTTTCCTATGCAAGTCCAAGTCTTCGCATGGACCCCAATATAACGGTTATATTCGGTATTTTTCAGATTTTAACAGAATTTTGAACAATTTTTTTTTTTTGATGATTTCCGAGTTCGTTCCAAATATTGGGGCATATTCCAAGTTTGGCCCGGCCGAACTTACTGCTTTTTTACTTGTTTATTTTAAATTTCATTGAGAAATTCATTAAAAAATATAAACTTTTGATATTTTTAAATTTTGCGATAGGAAGATGATTTTTTAATACTTTTATTTATAGTTTCTATAGTTTTCTACCAATTTAAAGATATCTTAATATATCGATGGTGACAGATACAAATATATATATATATATATATATATATATATACGGACATATTTATTTTTTCCAAAAACATTTCTCCATGCCTTACACACATACTAATGTACGGTGAATGTATATAAAAAACATTTTTGTATATAGAAATCATAAACTAATATTTCGCACGGATTTTGAGGTATTTGGTATTGACAAATATTCTTACCAATTCCTGTTTTGCCAATTTAATTATTTGTCAATCAAACCAATACATCACTATTTGCCTATTCATGAATTTGAGATAGATTTTTTGTCCTTTTTTTTAATGATAAAAAATTTCATTAAATTCATTCATTAAAATTTAAATTAAAATTTTTAAGGAGAAGATGAATTTAATTTAATAATTTCACTTTTTTCACAAATATTCTAATAAACAATAATGGCCAGGATCTTTTTTTAAAAATTAACAACTGTGCCTTGGAAAATGGGTATAAAATCTTCATTAATTATGGCATAGTAGAATGGATGGTTTGCAGTGAAGAAAATGGGCAGTGAACGGGAGTTTGCAACAATACCTGAAATAAAAAAAGAAAAATTAAAATTAGAAAGATTTTATTAAAAAGAGTTTTTCGATCTTAATAATAATTTTACTTTTCAATAAATTAAATAAATAGTTTTCATTTTATATAGATAAATTTAGACTAAATTATTGCGTTTTAAAATCAAATAGCAAATTTTTGTAGTAGATTTAAAATTTGAACAAACTTACTTGTTGCTCCAGAGGCTTCAGTGCCATACTCGGTAACCGAAATAAAAGCCTTGTGAACTGCACTTGAGATGTACAGAGGCTCGGGAGATTTTTTCATTTTGGTGAAATCGGCACGGCCAAACATTTGTTTCATGCCCATCTATAGACAGAAATAATGTTTAAATATTTTCTCTTTGTTTTCTTCCTTAAAACTAAAAACTTACATTCATCAGTGGCTCCGATAAATTAATTTCAAATTCCGCCTCAAATTTGGGCATCGACACCTCAACATGATCCTTAGACAAATGTGGCTTCAGGGACTTCAGCGAAACAGTTCGCAGTTTTTCTTCTAAAGAAGTCAAACCCGTCTTCGAGTTGGGCAATACAATTAGCATCGAAATATCGCTATCTTTATAGGGCAGGCGGACAACGCTACAATCCAAATCTTGTAAATCGGCATATTCGAAATAATCTTCGGTCACCATCATGGGAACTTTAACACTTTCGCTGTCATTAATGAAAAAATCTTGATCGCTTGTGTATTCCACATCGAATTTCGTTTTCCACTCGCCCTTAAAGTGTATGGCACTCACCAACACCAGGAAGGTATCAATGCCCAATGATGCGGGCGAGACCATGTTGTGGATTTTATTGTCGGTTTTCGACTCAACCCATTTGTTAATGCTATCAGCAGCTTCATTGGCACGCTCAAAGTCCACATATTCCGGCTTAGAGTAGAATTTCTCCTCAAGTGTTTTTTGAAAAACATCCTCTAGTACGGTGTGTTGCTTAACATAGACCTTATTGGCAATTTTTAACATTTTACCATCTTCGTATTTTGCCAAGAGGGTGTGATAGTTTTCCGCCACACTTTCCGGTGTTTGTCCGTTGAATTTTAACCCCTGATCCATTTCAGTGGCTGTCTCACCACCCGCTCCCATCCGTGTCATGGCCAAGCAGCTGTGTATGGAAAATGGTGAATAGATGATGTTCTTCTGGCTATTTGTCTTGAACAATTCGCCAAAGAGCTGTTGGCTAAAGCTGTCCAGGCTAGTCTTGAATTCCACATCGCCCGCGCTTTTGACGGAATTGACGGCGACAAGAAGTGTGGCAAAAGTGCACAGGATTTTGAAGAGTTTCTCTGAAAATAAATTAATATAAATTATATTATTCTTACTGAATTCTACAATGTGAGATGAAAAAACTGCAACCAATTTCAGACTGCTGTCATTTTAAGCCACTTGTCCGACAGCTGCTAAAATTATTCCAGTGACAGCTCAATATATTTTATATACATATTTTTTTTAATTTTTACAATTTTCCAGAAAAAAAGTTATTCATGATGGAATTCGAGGGTGATAGTGTGACTTCTTTTCACGGTCCACGTTTTGGTATACCCCATATAATGGTACCTCCCCATTTTTTGAGCACTTGTTAGTGCTCAAAATGTACAATTTCAGTTCAGTTTGGCAACATTTTTTACACGTACATCGCACTAAATTTTAACACTTTCAAGGCTGTATATATTATTCAAGTTTTTTCAATTCAATTATTGTACACTCTTCCAAAATCGCCTCCATATCTCAACCACAGACACCAACAGCGAGCGATATCTATTTCATGAGTGACATCTATTTTAGACGTGACCCAAAACCAAATTTAGCCCCTTTTAGTACATTCCGTACAATTATAGTACACATATTCGTACCACCTCCGTATGTTCACACAACACATAAACAGCTACAAGAATATCAAAATTACAAGCATTATCTGCTCATCCAATACCAAATGGGACAAAATATAGTACTATTTAGTACATTTCGTGCATTTTCATTTTTTTAGTAACATTAAGTATAATTCGCAGTTCACATTTCCGAAACAACATTCATATATCAATCTTAATTTCCAAACTTAATCCTCGTACCGAATGTCCACTCTCATAATACCAAATGGTGTTAATTAAGGTGGCTACTACCCTTTTAGAACTTTTCGTCATCTTTGAGTTCGAATTCCCAAAAACTCTTTGGTACACTTATCCTGCTCTCGATCAATGACTCACATTCCAAATTTCAGAATTCTAACTTGTTCCGTTTATCCAATACAAAGTATTCGATTTTTATACCCTACAACACTATGTGTTGGGGGTATTGTAAGTTTGATTGGGCCAAAAATTATGTAACACCACGAAATTTTGGTTTCCCATATAGGAAAGTATATATGGATCTTCCTATCTCGCCGAGCTGAATCGATCTAGCTATGTATGTCCGTCCGTCCATCTGTCCGTCTGTCCATGTTAATTTGTAATCACTCTACAGGTCGCAATTATGGTCCGATCCTCACGAAATTAAAAATGGAGGTGGGGTTAATGTCAGAATAGAACCCTATTTCTTTTGGTGGTAATCGGTGAAAACAATTTTGCATGAGAAGAGAGTAAAGGACAGGACCATCGGATTATATTTAACTCTAACTAACAGGACGACGGTTTGCGTAAGTATTAGGCAAATGTCCCTAGTCAAAAAGGTATATGACACAATTTCAAAAGCGAAATCTTCCAAAATGGATTTGGACATAAGGGGACTTCTACCATTATGTAGTGTTGTAGGGTATCACATGGTCGGCCCCGCACGACTATAGCCTTTGCTTACTTGTTAGTACTTATCATTGACGTTTTGTTAGGTCAGTCAGTCATTCAGTTATTTTACTACTCTTTTATATACAGATAGGAAAAAAAAAATCCCGACATTACAACAATTTTGACCATTTAGAACTATAGGCGAATAGATCTCCCGGGAACACAAATAAAAAAATAATCTGACAAAAGTTACTACACACAATGAACTTCAGTGCTAAACATATTCGATAAATCCATGGTACTCATCTGCAGCATCACTAGTTTTCAATTCACGCCGAACATCACCAGCTGATAACACTATGACCCCAAATGCTGGCTGTCATAAATTGTACAGTGAAACCTCCAAACAGTGGACAGCGACGGTTGACCTAAAATTTGTACATTGTGAGGATTTGTCCCCTGATCCCATTTTGTTAAATAAAGAACTAAATAAAAAAATTTTAAACATTTTTCATTTAAGCTCCCACAGACGGACACCTTCTTACAATGGAGACATTTCGGTCCCGCGTCGCTGTCCATTGTTGGGAGGTTTCACTGTATATGTTTGCGTTAGAACATTTTTTTTTTTTTTTGAAATTTCATTAACACATCTTACACAGAGCGACGGCCATGACCTTTCACATCGAACGCGAAAAGAAGATTATTTACCTTTAAGTTCCATTCTGCTCGCAGATAGTGCGATATTTCTAGCAACGTTGTTTAAATAGCAAATGTTGTCTTAGCACTGATTCAATTATCAATCGAAAACTACAAATCATGTGTCATATTTGCAATTTTCGCTGATTTATCAATTTGTTGTTGTTATTGCTGTTTTGCAAAATGCAAAAAAACAAAACCGCAAAACGTGTACAGTGGATTAATAAATATTTGCGATTGAGAGGTTATCTGTAATCTTTCTTCGATGGTTGTGGGGTGGAACAGAAGAAGTTGTTGTATTTGTGTTATTTTTATGTGGACAAAATGTTGGATGCATAGGTTCCATTGGACCAGATGATGGCTACAAGAATTAATTATGACACTATTTGCCCCATTACCAAATTAAAAATGGGCCTGCAATATTTGTCCCTCAATTTTGTTTGCATATTAGCTCTTTTTCAAAAAATGGTTCCTGTTTATTACATCAACATCATCATCAACATCAATTTTCATAAAAGGGTTCCCCATTTTTTTTTTTTTTTACTCCGTTCAAGAATATTGTTTATTTTTTTATTTACATGGAAACTCCCATACATCAATTATATGCGTGCTCCCCCCTGCGACCCACTGTAAAACACGGATCAACTTGGTGCATCTCAACCTTGTTTTATTTACCACGATTTATTTCTATTCATACATTTATACACGTCGCAGTATTTACGTCGACATTCCGGCAAAAGTTCCCTCGAATAGGGGCTCAAAGTTGGAATTAACTACAGCATAGTAAAATGGGCGATCAGCTTCGAATATTTCGAACTGAGGATGCAGGCTCTTGGCAACTGAGGGGAGAAAAATAAAATTAACAAAAAAAAATAATAATTTCGAAATGTTTTCAAATTCTGCTTACAGTTATAGGGTACAGCAGTCGCAACCGATTCTTTGACTTCAATTGATGCCTTGTGAATGACGTCAGCAAAGTGTATGGCTTGATTTTGTTGAATCATTTCATCGAAACGAGCGGTGGTAAAGAATTTTGTCATTCCCATCTGAAAGACAAACAAACAAAAAAAAAAAAAAAAAAAAAAAAAACAGGAAAGAAATATTAACTTCGGACAGAACTTTTAATACCCTCCAACATTAGGTAAACACACATTAAAAACCAGCAGGGAAAGGTCAAAAAATGCGCTGGAACGAATATATAATATCCTACACCATTATGCGTATTTATTAGAGCTCTCATAACAAACAGGTTTATATTGGGAACATATTTCGTGGATAAATGTGACAAGGAATATCGATTATCGGCGGTTACATGGGGGCTATACCAAAATGTGCTTCTATACATACAATATTTCGCCACCGGAGCTAAAACCTATTATGACCTACAAAAACCTATTTTAAGACAAATTCTTAAAAAAATTTGGAAAAAATCATCAAAATAACGAATATGGGGTGGTACCGTTATGTTATGGGGTGGTACCGTTACCAACTATCCTAAACGCAATACAAATTGTTCTGCCAAATAACAAAAACAAGTCAAAAAGTAGTAAGTTCGGCCGGGCCGAACTTTGAATACCCTCCACCCTTCGGAACGAATTTGGAAATTTTCAGAAAATAAAATCATTAAAACATTCTGTTAAAATTTTAAAAATACCAAATATAGGCATTATATTGAGGTGTATACGATGTAGGCCTACATAGGCATTGTTTGTCATAGGCTATTACCATATTCAAATTCGTAACTTGAAATAAACGGTGAATAATGTTGCTAAAATTATCAAAATGTCGTATATAGGGAGGTACCGTTATATCGGAGCTATACCTGCATAGACAATTTTCTGTCACAGGCTGTAGCATCCATTACGAACTTCAAATACCACACCTCAAACAATTTCGGTGGGTATTGTACCTAAAATCGTCAAAATACCGAATATAGGGATGTACTGATATATGGGCCCTATACGAAGACCTGAACCAGCATAGACAATTTTCTGTCTTAGGGTGTAGTATTCAATTCGAACTTCAAATACCAAATTTGAAACAATTCCGGTGAATAATGTCGCAAAAATCATCAAAATACCGAATATAGGGGGTACCGTTTTATAGGGGCTATACGAAGACGTGGACTTGTACAGACAATTTTCTGTCTTAGGGTGTAGTATATATGACGAACTTCAAATACCAAATTTGAAACAATTCCGGTGAATAATGTCGCTAAAATCATTAAAATACCGAATATCGGGAGGTACCGTTATAGGGGGCCTATATGAAAACGTGGACCTACATGGCCCATTTACGAACTTAACCTGCCTACTAGAAAACTAAACATGTGTGCAAAATTTTAGCCATCTATCTCAATTCATTCGAAAGATAGCGTGATTACAACAGACAGCCAGACGGACAGACAGACAGACAGACAGACGGACATCGCTAAATCGACTTAGAATTTTACGCTGATCAAGAATATATATACTTTGTTGGGTCTGACATGAGTATTTCGAGGAGTTACAAACGGAATGACAAAGTTAATATACCCTCCATAGAATGGTGGAGGGTATAAAAATTATTGGAGCAATAGATATGCCGGACCGATTTTCATCAAATGGTACAATTCGGTTGAATATGAAATAATCTATTCAATTTGGGATGACATAATATATATGGTGGCCAATAACCATAAAATCGGATGAAGATTTATATCGAAGCTATATAAAAATCTGAACCGATCTCGGTAAAATTTGGCAGAGGTATTTTCGAGCAGTATCTGATGCCCGGTATCAAATATAATTGTTGTAAAGTAAATATTACGCCAAATCGGATAGAACATATGCATGGGAGCTATAGCTATATCTGAACTGATTTTCACCACATTTTAAGTACTTGTTTCTAGGATGAATTCAGCCCAAATGGACTGAATTGCTAAAATTTATTGTTTTAAAAATTAGCCATTTGGTGCATTTGGTGGGATCTATATCCCAATTTGATCCGATCTCTATAAAATTTGACAGAGGTATTTTTGAGATTCATAAGTTATCTGGTTCCAAATAGCATTCTTGTTGAGTTTATACTAGACATGTGAGGGACTTTAACCCCCAAATCGGTTTAAACATATATATGGGAGCTACAGCAACTCGAACCGATTTTCTCAAAATTGGATGTACTTACATCTAGACTGAATCGGTTGTGCGAGAACCCATGTAATTTGGGCCGATATTGGCCATATGGTGCACAAATAATCTTATATAGGATAAAAAATATATGTGGGAGATATATCTAAATTTAAATCGATTCTCAAAAATTTCAATAGGGTTCATCCTTGGATAAAACAAATACTGTTTGGAAAATTTCATCCCAATCAGATAATAAATGCAACATGCATTTTGTTCACAAAAATATTTGGACAGAAGGACGGACGGATTGATATGCATAAATCGACTCAGGAAGTGATTTTATGAAGATCCCCAAAATTACGTACGGGTCTATCTCGCTTCCTTCTCAATGTTACAAACAAATACACAAAGACATAAAACCCTCGCCGCAGTGTGGTGTAGGGTATAAAAATATCTGGATTAAAATGTGTTCTACTTCAATCTGCAAATATCAGATTGAAGTTATATGAGGTCACACCAAAGCGGGAACAATTTTCTACTGCAAGAATTGTTGTCTACTGCCAGTCGTACCAAATTCGTAAAAATCTGAATATCAGTGGTTACGGATTTGTCCAAAATATATGGAAATTTTGGACAAATATGGCCAATATTTTGACACCAGTTATGAGCTACTAATACCGATTTCTGATAGAAATATAGTCTAAATCGAAAAATTTCGAATACTTAACTGCAGCCAACTTCAGACTGCTGTCATTTCTAAGCCACTCGTCCGACAGCTGTTAAAATTATTCCAGTGACAGCTCATTATATTTTTACAAGCGTACAAAAGAAGTTGACGGAAGAAAACAGCAACATCAGCAGAAATGGTTCGAAACGTGAAGAAGTGACTTTATCAAAACGCGTCGCAGTGACCGAAAAATGAATCGTGAGCTGAACATATCGCAATATTCCATTCGGGAAATATTGAAAAATGAGCCATTGAAATTCCAAAAAGTGAAAATAGGCCCAAAATAGCAAAAAAGTTGCTTCGTTTTGCCGAAAGTGGTGAACTGCCAAATTTGGGTTTCTCCGTCTCCGATGAGGAAACATTCGTTGTCCAGCAGTTTGTAAACAAACTAAATGATTCCAAAGAGGTCAGCTGAAAATGTGCACCATCGGTTGGACAACAGAACTCAAGCGCCGGCCACGGTGATGGTGTGGGCCGCCATAAAAGCCGATGGTAGCTCTACGCTCGTATTAATCGACCGTGGCATCAAAATAAATGGCGAATATTATCGCGAAAATATTCTGGAGGGAGATTTAAAGCCTTGGGCATGCAAACATTTTGACCACAGACCTTGGACATTCCAACGGGACTCAGCACCATCGCACTCAGCACGCGCCACCCAAGAATGGTTACAAAATGAGGTTTCCAGCGCACAATGGCCACCAAAATCTCGGATACCAATCCGTTGGACTAATGTGTCTGGAATATTTTGGAAAGCAGGGTTGGCACTAAAAAATACCAAAGTGTCGATCAACTCAAGCAAGCGCTTCGCCGGGAATGGGCCAAAATACCGCAGAGCAACATTCAGGCAGCGTGTGACGGTTTCAGTGGCCGTTTGAAGGCCATAATTCATGCCAAAGGTGATCAATTCGAACAAATCTAAACTTATTCTAAAATTTTATGCTATTTCCGACATTTTTTGCTTTCATTCAATGAAATTAAAAAAAAATGTAAAAATTATGGCGTTTGACTTTGTTGCATTTTTTTTATCGCACCCTGTATGTAGACAATTATGAATTTTTCCAAACAAAGTCTTCAAAAAACTTTTTCTTAGATTTCTATTTCCTTCACTTACCTTATTAAGGAAATATTTCAAATCCACTTGGAATTCCGTTTTAAATTTCGGCATAATCACATATCCCTCGGTCTCCGAGAACTTTCTCTTCAGTGATCTTAAATCAAAATCAATTTCGTGGAAAATTCTCATAAATCTTTTCAGGGCCACATTATCTGCTGGCTTTATAACAATCAACGATAAATCCGAATCC